CAAGAATTGAGGCCAACACAATAGTCACTGCACGTACGAACTGGTCTTCCAAATTACTTGTCAATCCTTTTATTCCTATATACCCTATAAGGGGCTAGGTTGCTCAACTTTTTCTTACCTTTACCTATTTTATTATTATTATATTATACTAAATGGGTGTCTCGTCTATTATATTCTCATTTATATATTATTATAACTTAACTATTTAGAATATATATTATTATATCTGTAATATGTGAATGGGTCGTCTTTCCATTATCTGCCTTATCATTGTCATATTCAGTCGTGTCCAGACGCATTCATCATCCAATAGAGGCTTCTCACATCAACGTCGTCCGAAACAGCATTCAAATGATTTTGATGAAATTGTTAGACAAAAATCATTTGGTAATAACATAGCACAGGTGTCAACTATACTATTCATCTGATAAATCATTATGTAACCCTTCTCCATTGTAGTGTCCATGCGTTGTTCATCCTCAAAGCCGTCAATGTATATCTTATGATTCTCGCTACTTGGCTACTTCTGTTGAAGAAGCTATTCTAGCTTTTATCGATTTATCAAATATCGATTATTATGAAAATTCATTAGTTGTAAGAGATACTATGACTTGCTCTTCTTATACAAATTTCTTAGACCAAACGCACATTTGATTGTTCAACACCTTCTTGTCTACAATGTTTTTCCATTCTATTTCACAGATTAGTTGAAATAGGATTGATCTCGTCAGATTACAGGTTTTCCATTCCATTTCTCTCTTAACCTTTCTTCATTTCTTGAGGACGAAAGTTCAAATTTTGCCTGTTGCTTCTATTAATCTCCAACAATGCCCACGTTTTCGCTTTTTGAATCAGAAATTTGTGAGTTTCATCTTCTCTTACTCTGTTCAGTGTATTCTCTTAGATACCATCTCCTCCTGTAAATGTTCCTTCTTATGTTCGACAAATGGTTCAAGCTGGACAAGCTTTTGCTTCTTCAGCTTCGTCTTCCGCTTTTTCTCAGAATAGAAACAATCAACAAAGTAGTTCCAGTGGTAGTGCAGGAACAATTGCTAGCGTATCGGGTATTCCTGCTCAAAGAGTTTTCCCGCACAGACCAGGAGAACATGATGATTCTGGAAGTAATTGAAGCATTATGAATGATAGAAATTTTATAATCGTTGCAGATAATCATCGCAATCATCCCAAAAATCCTAATTCTGCGTTTAACGCCGCATCTGGAGGAGCAGCAGCGATTGGTGCTGGTGTCGGAAGCTCTGCGGGTTTCATTCAACCTGGGGTTGTTCCTCCTCCTCCTCCTCCAATCCCGACGCTACCACCTCAAGCTCATCCAGGGCCATGGAATCCAATACCACAGCCCCATCCAGAACCATGGAGTCCCAATCCGCACCCACAACCACAGCCATGGAATCCAAATCCACAACCTCAACCGCAGCCATGGAATCCAAATCCGCAACCTCAACCGCAGCCATGGAATCCTAATCCGCAACCTCAACCTCAACCCCAGCCGCAGCCGCAGCCGTGGAACCCAAATCCACAGTATCCGGATTATCCAGGTTGGAATGGTCAATGGGTAAGAAGAGACATGCCTATTAATGAAACTGTATTCGAATAGAACAATCAACAACAATCAGCTGTCTCGTCTAGTGTTGGTTCTAGTTTAGGTTAGTTGAGGGATGAACTTTTGATCTATACAAATGTTTCAGGCGCCGGATTATTCTCTCCTATTCACAACCTTCTCGGGAGCCTCTTCGGCGGTGGAGGAGGTCTAGGAAATGATCATAAAATTATAATTGGTAAACAGCGTTAAATTAATCAGATGACATTGAAATGTGAAGTTAAAGGACGCAAACGAAAAAAGAGGGAAACTGAAGAATTGGTTGGCAAGAGGTTCACCATAGGATGCATTAACCGCGGCGAAACAGAACAGGACGGAGACTTGTTATCATTATGTGGTACTTAAAGAAAACACAAGAGCGTATAATAATGATTTATAAAGGAAACTGTTGGACGTGGCGTCAACTACCTCCCGACTACTTTCCCCGCATAGTCAATGAGCTTAGTTGTAAGGAGGACGATTACTGTCTCTCAGGTAAATATATAAATCAAAATAATATGAATAAAAAAAAATGATTAAAGGATGGGGACAGTGTAAACAACAATATCGAAATATTGATGTTCTCAAAAATGTTGCTGGTCGTTGGATACCAACCGTTATAACAACATCATCATGCTGTGATTGTAAAATTTCTTCAGGAACTGAAATACATGCATTAATAACCGGTGATAAATCATCAAAATCTTAAAACAAAGCTTATCAATAACATATAGTAACAGTTTGTCTTTCAACGATAAATATTATTAGTTCTATCTCTTCAATAGTCGTCATCACATCAAGCACCATGATCATTCATGTATACAGCTAACTCCACTGATAGTTCTACTTCCTACTTTCCAATTACCATCCTTGTTACAAGAAATTTCTGATGCCAGTCCTCCACCTCGCACTGCTCGATACATTGGTCCAACAGGATAAAACTAAAATTCAAAATCATCTTATTAACATATTTGCCGCCATTATCATTGGCGCGTCTTTTTTGTTCATTTTCTGCAATTTGCTCTCGCGAACGGTTGAACAAGAAATTAGGAAGAAGAAAGAAATACAGGTAGTAAGTCTTCTATTATATTTTAATTTCTTTACATACTTCCTTTACCGTTCGTTTATGTTTTCACATACCTGCATGTAGTTATCTGGCCACTTTCCCAAGTATAGTGGAACATTGCAATAGACTAAGGTTTGCGCACATCCAACAGCAGAGAATGTCCGTTCACTAGTAGAAGTTGATATTTGAATTCTGATTTCATTTTCTTACCCTATATATGGCTCGTAGAATTCTGCAGTTTCGTTATTATTTCCGAAAATTTTCAGCAAGTTAGGCAATTCGCAGGTGTGACAAAGATTGATTTCTTCTGAAAATTTTCAGATATATGTCTGATCAAGAAATTTTCAGATAATTATCATCTTCGGCAAGCCCGAAATGGATTATCACTTCTAATATTCTGACACATCCATCATTGTCTTGCGTGATTGTTGCATATGCATGAATCCATACGAAGAGCAACTTAGTGAAGAATACGAATATACCTTACCCGGAACTTTTGGAGTAACGATAGTTTCTATGGATCTTGATATTGGCCTTTCTACTGTCTCGCTCTCGATCTTTGTAGTCTCTTTGTTTCCAGCACCATTTTCTTCAGTTTTCTCATTTTTTGTTCCGGCTTCTTCGCTTCCTTCTTCTGGAGTTTTCTCATCTGTGGATTTGTCCTCAACTTCCTTTTCTCCAGCTCTTTCGGGTTCAACTTCGGTTTTTTCAGCTCCATTTCCTCTGGCTTCAGTCCGAATAGCATTGATCTCTTCTTTAACATTTTTCTCAGCCTCTTTTGCTCCAGTTTCTTCAGCTCTGTTTTCATCTGATTCATCCTCTTCAATTTTGTTAGCGTTTTCTTCTCCTGATTCGTTCGCTCCAGCTTCGTTCTCCTCCACTTCTGTTGCATTCTCTTCAGTTTCTTCTTTGACGGATTCTTTCTCTTCTGCTTCGAAATCTTCGGGAAGTAGTTTTTCCGATGTATCACCCCCATTTGGCAAGGTTGGTTCGATGATGACGAATGATGATGATGAAATGGTCTTCTCTTCCTTTGTTTTTGCCGTTATTGATGAAGCCTCAGGAGGTGATACAGTTATTTGTCGAGGCTTAGTCTTACTTGAAGCAGCAGATGATGTTTTGACTGTATTTTTAGCCTTTAACTTCCTTCCATTGTTATTTCGTGCTGGGACAGCTGTCCGAGTTCTTGTTGCGAAAGAGTTAGTTCTAACTCTTGTATCAGTTAATAACTCTTCATCATCTATAACTTCGTCTGATACATCAACAACAATGTTGTGTTTGGTCTTTCGAACATGAGAACTTGGCAACATTCGAGCTGTAACAAATACTGATAATCGCCTATTTATGAAATAATTGATACCATTCTGATTGATAACATTCGAATCAGCTGAGGTTGTGGGTTGCTGTATCACTGCATCTAAAGATATGATGATAAGAGCAAATGTTGCGAAACGGGAGAATACCTGCGCTCCTTTGAGCTGTTTGCATACAACCAAAACACAAAGGAACAAAATATAACAAATTAATTATTTTTAGTATCATCATATCACGATAGTATGGGTACACAATACAAATAGTTTCACCAAACGGCGATTATTCAAATAAACACTGGAAGCTCATCGATACCACTATGAGGCCTGTCAATTCCAGTTACGAATCCACCCATACAGATTTCGCCTTGTTTCAGTCCAACTTTAGAGTTCATCAACATGATTTCTCTGATAGACTTGGACAACCAGTGTCCTCTAGAAGCCAATTTCTCAAATTCTTATCACAACTTTGTGAAATTGCGATGTTTGGGTGTTCCTTACTATGAAATAGCTAATACACTTCAATTATCTTCTTTGAAATCAGTCGTTGTGATACATAGATCTCAAAAATGTTCGCAGTCAGCAGGATTCGAACCTACGCGGGCAGAGCCCAATTGATTTCTAGTCAATCTCCTTAACCACTCGGACATGACTGCACATTTCATTGCTGACCCATTGCCAGTCAAGAATTTCACTGCCTAACTCGCATTCCGAGAATAAATGATAATAATCCTCTTAATCAGAGATGTCGGTAAACTCGATGATACGTATTTCAACACGATTTTGACGAAAATATCTTCTTTCAACACGAAATTGACATAAGAATTGACATTTGCATCGGCTATTAGAAAACAATCAAGAAACTATTGCTTGTCATCGTTCATTAATGGAAAATCCATCATTGCTATATTAGGTTCTTGATCATCGGAATCGTTTTAAGAATTTCAAAACATTTACAAACATATCAATTGAAAGCTGAACAGCCCCCCATATATGTACATGACTAGAATCATAGGGCAAACCAAAACTAATGGCTGCACTTCTCGGTCTCTTGAACAATATACAGTGGACATCCTCCCTGTAATAATCGATTATTTTTGAAACGATTATCTATCTTTACGAGTACCTTGTAAACATCGGCCATTCGAGAATTTTCCAATATGACCAAATGTCTTTGAGGATGGTCTGCACTGGCTGGTTGCCATTCTACCTCGTCTGTACATCCGTGTTCGCCGTTGGGATTGCTAAATTTACTTTTGAGTTTGAATATTTTTTCTTGTTTTACCCAAATTTAACAAAGTTCGTCACTCTGTCCGTCATAGTGGACAGAACAGCTTTGTCAGTTTCGTCGAAGGTGAAATTTCCAAAGATACGTATATCAAATATATAAGGAAGCTCAGCACAATGAGTAGACGCTGAAATTGCAATATTTCTCCGATTGGGGAAAGGGTGTAAATACCTTTGAATGGTAAACCGAGGGCAGCATACATGTCCGGGTTGTAATACTCAAAAGAGTACATGAAAACGTTTGGAGATTTTTTAAGCCAATCAAGCACTGCTCTTTGTAAACCAGAAGTCATGAAGTTTCCGCTATCAACCTATATGGGGCTGCTGTTGTTTCAGTGGTCAAAGGAATACTGAATACCTCGACAATCATCTCGACAATCTTATCCATAGATTTGTGGTTATCCATAAGCATTTTAATGAATTCTCGGCGTTTAGCTTTAGTTTGTGTGTGGAATACGTTCTCAGGGAAGGATTGAGCGATTTTACTCAGTAGAACGCTGATTGAGAATGGTTGATCAGTACCCATGATGGCTATAATAGGTATTTGTAAATATTGGTGAACTATGTCTTGCATACATTCAGAATGAGCGCATCCCATTATTATATTCTTAGCTGGTGCTTCATGTAGGAGCTCATGGAACTTGAATAGTTTTAAAGTTTCAATGTGATTCTGGTTAAGTAACAAACTGGACGAGGGAAGAAGTCGCCATCAAAACGCGGTGCTATATATAGCTGCTGTGTAGCTTGGTCCAACTCGATACCGAGAGCGAACTTCTCTGCCGGTATTGTGCGGAGCTTCTCTAAGAACTGTAAAGAGATGCTCAACAGTGTCAGCTGTTAATGGATAACCTCTTCAGAGTCTTCATCACCCTCTATGCCCACACTTTCACCGAATGTACGACATTTTTCTATTCCATTCGAGGTATGGAACCAGTTACAGAATCTGTTCGTGAAACCGGCCATGCACAGCATCTGATGGAACAAATCTAAAGTTCGTGAACTCAGATGATATTCTTATCAGCTCTATAAAAAAAAAACTTCCTACCTCTGGTATGAGGAGAAATAGCAAGCAACTGAGTCATAGCTGAACCAGCTGACTGCCCTGATACGGTAATGCGATCTTTGTTTCCCCGAAAACGGCTGAGGTTATCCTAATCATGCAATTCAGAAAGATGAATCCACAAAAAAAGTTCTCACTCTTGTCCATTCCAATGCCAATTTACAGTCCCATAGAGCGTTATTTCCAGGGCAGTGCTCATCACCAGTAGTGAAGAATCCGAGCAACCCAACACGATATTCAATGGTCACCACAACCACTCCTTTACTTACCTTAAACAATTCCGGTACTAAAATTATTTACATCCATCGAACCAAGTTTTCGCAGATTCCTTTGTCTCCGTACTTGAACGTACTCTCAGTTGCAAATCCTCCTCCATGAACAAAGAAGTAAACAGGGAAACCCTCAGGATCTGTAGGTTCCCAGTCAGGACTAAACACATTGAGAGTCAGGCAGTCTTCAGAGATTGGAGGCGCCTTTAACACACGATTTGAGATCAGTTCAGAAGAAGAGAACTACATTTGGCTTCTTAGAAGAAAGCTTCTGTATACTCTGGTTTCCAAAATTGGTGCAATCCTTAACTTCAGTCCATGGTTCAACAGGCTCAGGTTTCTAATATTGGAAATTGAACATTGATTACTTATTCAGTAGCAAAGACCTTAAACCGCAATGACCCTACAGGAGGTTTAGCATATGGAATGCCTTTGAACGCATTAGCCTATCATAGTTAACGAGTTGTGATTATATATACGTTTATACTTCGATTTGTACCTTTCTTTCACCAGCAGGAAGTTTTTCTCCAGAAATCGGACCGGACAAAGTGTCAACTCGCACACTCTCACAAGTAGAACCCATAATAGGGGGAGCACACAGGAGAATGATAAAAATTCGGTAGAATGACGAGTAAGAAGGAATCGTCTGTATTTATTCAGAAGAAATTGTATATGATGCCTAACGATAAAACACTTGATAAGAGTTTTCAATAACATACGAAAGTAAAAAGAGGGTTTTGCTGTAGTCAGCGTGATCAAACGATAAACTTCAAATTCAAAAAGAGCTTACGGTCCCGTTCAGCAACACATAGTCAAGACATTCAATGAAAAAAGGAAGGTATTCAATAAAAATTATGTTAATAGATGAGCATGCCAGGCTTATTATAGGAAATCTTACGAATTGTACAGCGCGAATATGAATATGGCTATGTTTGACGAAAAATAACAAAGTGCAACGATGTCCTTTGAAAGAATCGTGAAAGATACGGGGTCGGGCAGATTGCCAATGTCTTCAGTTCATCGCAGAGGGCAACTTACGTGAACTTCATTAAGGAATGAGACAGTCGGCAGGGAATCGTCCTGCCGACATGCCAGTATATGAGAATGTAGAGGGCGGTTTGGACTTAAACAAATAAATAAGTCTATTACACACAAAAAAGCTCGCCTACCTTCGTAGCACAGTATTTCTTAATGATATTCCAGTACTTATAGCGATAAGACTTCTGCATTGGGAGACTGAATGAACCTTCACGAAAAAAAAGGTTAAACAACTGATCAAACTTCAAGAGTACACTCACGTTTACTGAAAACATTAAGCTCTTTCTCAATCTTGACTCGTCGTTCCACTGATGGAAGCGTTTGAGCGTGCTTCAAAACATTTCTTCGAAATTCGCTAAAGATCTCTTCTCCGTAGTTCTCCAAATGATGTCTATCCACGAGAGCTCGAGCACGAGTAAACCTGCTGTTATTCATAGCGCACTCTCTTGCGATTTTAGTAAAACTAAAGAAATCAGACTACATACGAAAAGGAGCACAAATGAATTACTATTCTGTTTCAGACTCATCATTGGCAAATCGTTTTCCAAAGTCTTCGAAAGCGTCATTAGTATCTACATCACCGAATTTGTCCACGATGCCTTTGAGATCATCCTAAACGAAGAAAAACCAGTTAGGCGTGGAAAAGGCAACATTACAGTTCCATATAATATGTCGTAAGCATCTAAGAGTGTTCTCGAAGGAAAGTCTTTGCCGTACTTCTCAAAGAAATCATCATCAAAACCGCAATTGTATAAGGTTGGAAGTTGCTGAAATCAAAGGAATAGAAACCTTTAGGGAGAAAAAAAACAGACGAAGTGTGTCCTATTCTTAAGAGGGTCGTCTGATGCGAAACAGGGAATTATCCGATATTCACCACCATGTTTTCTCCAGGCAGTCTCAAACAGGCCAGAGAATTCCGTTTTCAACTGAATTTCTTCAGAATATCCTATAATCACTTTTTCATAATAGCAAGCTCCAATCAACCGCATGTAAGGGACGCCACCGGATAAATAACTGAAAGAGAGGTGAGAGACGTATCAGAGATTGGGAAGTTACATTGAGGTAAATAAGCAATAGTGATAATCCTCAGACCAATCATCACATTCTACTAATGTTATAATATTATCGAAATTCCTAAGAGTAGACTTCATATAGCACATACAATGATCTGTAAGAGGACAAGCATGATAGCCAATTACATAATAAAGACTAACCAAAGTCGTAGCCATCATTATAACTCAAAAACCTTTCCACTAAAACACCTGCCACCGTAGCCTCGGCATCATGAGGACAATATTGTACAAAAATCTCTAAGGCTTCCTCGAAAATCAAGCAAGACCCGTCTGAATTTGCTATGGAAAACAGAAAAACAGTGATTCTTACGTCTACTCCTGAGTACAGCTATACCAGGCTCATCTTCAACTACAAAACAAACATTTGAAAATGAACAAAGAAAGGAACTTACTTCCATCATCTAATTGGGGTATAAACTTCTTGGCTGAATCTAGGGTATGAATATCTATATGAATACCCGGCTCCCTTTTAAAATCCTCAAGACCGTTGACTGTCTCTCTTGTAATCGAATCTTTGTGCTCTTCCAAGAATAATTCTTCAATTCATGCACATCGTAATTAAGTACAAAAAAAGCCTAACCGAAAGCTGTAGGATTAGCCGGATCATTGGATAATGGTAGACCAAATGGCCTAGAGGGTGCCGTCGTCGTTATAACCTTTCGTACATCTACTCATGGAACAGAAGGTTACAAACAATGAAAGCTCAGATTTACCTGATTTCCGTTCCTTCTTTTTCGTTTTCTTCTTTGACATATTAGTTGCCTATTGTTGTTTTCCTAAATGGCAAGTATGACAAGAGATGATGTGTTTTGTAAAAACGAAAGACGAAGAAGGAGATAGCATTATTAGAAGAAGAAGTTCATTGTGTGTTTATGCCATGAAATGGAGTAGACCGTTGGCTAAGACCAACTCAAATATGTAAGATCGTTAATCCAGAAATAAAACAACTTTTCATTGTTTCGCTAACTTCCATAGCATATACAAGATAAGTTATGAAGGATGAAGCGTGCTTACCAAAATGGAAACAATTAGACTGAACAGTTGATTCAGAAACACAAACACATGCGGATTTAGAGGATTATAAGTGAATGTTAATCCTGAAGGAACGAATTCTTTAATTTATCTCAATTTTCCCCGTCTACAATCGATATTTCAAGAAGTTTGAAGAATGTGAGAGTAGGTTTATGTCCAATTTATGCTAATTAGGTTGGACCAAATAAGGAATCTCAATGAAAAGCGTGAATATTGCATAAATTGTCTATTAGGGTAAAGGTAGATTCAAGTTTATAAGATAAGATAAGTTTTTGGGCGCGAAAAGAAATATGAGGCAGTTGAAGGAAGATGAGTGGACTCAAAAAGGACTAAAACAATTCCAATCAATAATTCAACCGAATTAATCACTTTATTTAGACGCTATTGTTGAGAGACATAGACTTCACCCATGAAATTATTAAATTGCACGGGAAAGAGAGTCCAAGAAAACAGCTGGAAATTGAATAGTTTTTGTGTACAACCTAAGTCTTAGAATTGGGGCAATACGTACGAATTATGGTTGTAATTGTCATCCTTCCGAGCATGAACGACAGGACATTTAATGAATCATTCTGGCCAGAAAGGCAGATGTTACTTATAGCAATCGTCCTCTCAACATGGAGCCAGATATTGATTCGGTCGCGATTGGGGTAAGTGCTTAGCTCACATCAAAAAAGAAATATTCTCCTTTTTCTCATTTTCTGTCATATTCATCCTTTCGGACAGCCATAGAGAGTTCATGAATGGCGAGACGTTTTATTCTTCTGCCGGCTCCATGGCACAAATTAGAGCGTATCGATTCCTGCTCAATCAGCTGGCACTTCATCACCTAATCTTACTCACTGCTTTACTCTGTATGAATACAATGATATGTTCGAGTGTTTTTGAGAGAAATGAGATGATTGCCAAAGGTCACAACAGCTCAAGAAGAAAGAAGATGGAATAATCGATCTGCGTTCGAACTTAGATGCTAACAAGCAAGTGTTAGTGCTTTATTTGTTAAAACCAAACAGTTCTTTATGAAAGCGTTTAGAGAGAATTAAATCCAGAAGTATCTACGCCAAATCAAAACTACGCTTTGAAATTAATGAGGAACTTTCTTTTTTCTAATCTTCCTCTCATTGAAGACCTTTCCAACTTTATATTTTGAAGGCGCTGTCACGATAACCAAAGTGCAAATGAATCGAAAGTGTTCCACTGTTTGAAAAATATTGATTAGAATGAAAGCAGTGAGGCTTCCCCCACTATATATCATTGAAAATAATTAACAGAACTCAAATTTATGTGAAATAAAAGATTTTAAATATAAAGTTTTAGTTAGATGACATAAAAATTCGAACAAGCATAAGGAATACGCACAAATAGCGCTTTTTGAGTGCTCTTGTACATTCCACGTGCAGGACGCATGCTAATTTTGCGCCCGAACACAAACCAACTTCTATTGGATGTTACTTTTTATGAAATGGGCGCACAGTGCGGTTGCATTCTCTTTGTTTCTGAAAAATCAAATCGTTTTCCTTCATTTCCATGTCCTTGCGTCAGTTTTCTCTTAAATAAACAAAAACCGTGAGTATAATGAGATACTCTAGACAATCAAAGGGTTCAGCATATCACAAAGTTTTCAGTTTCGTTTGAAAAGTGTTGGGAATCACATTTATGCATTCATTTATGGCATAATGAATGAACATGTTTGTTAAACTGACTTCGAGACTGAAGGTTGTTCATAAAAATCCAATGGTTATAATCAACTTATTCTGAACATATCTCGCTTCAACTTGTTACGCCTCTTAATGAGTAATCCTATCGATTGTTCATACATTACGCTTTAACTATTCCGATTTTCTCCACCTCCTTGTATGACCTAGTTCTCAATGCTCATTTTTTCCAGCCTAAGAAAAAAGCCAACGACTCCTTGCGTAGTAATATATTACTGGCGTTCCTCTTTGTATGCTGTGTTCTTTATAAGAGAGCTTATATTTCATTTCATACTACGTCATAGTCATATGCGACGAAATCGCAACATTTCTGCGTCAGCCTTTGCTAATGTCAGAAAATCGCAACATTTTTCAATGCCAAAGTTGAAAGGCGTCCTTTTTCGCTCAAATGCCTTCGTTCTTTCTTCATTGGATTTCATTAGAGCCTTCCAAATTACCATGGCCCAGCCAATTTAGAATAATATTGATATCTTGGTCTCAAAAAGATTTTGAAGCATGCTTTGAAATGAATCGTTCCCGAGAAATCCTCCCATTCGTCTATTTTTCTTTTTCAGGTCCGTTTCAAGGTTGAAAAAGTAAGATCTTGTGTATATATACATCTCATATGTGAATATATATTCTCATCGAAATGAGTGAGACCAACCCGCCGCCAGTTAGTACGTGATTCCCTACTTGTATATGATTTAAATTCTAATTTTGCAGGAGTCAAAGGGCCCAAGATTAAGCTTGAGAATGGCGATGAAATAATCTACATCGATCACATAAGTGAGTTTTATCTTAATCTATACAACCGCTCAATACGTGAATGCGCATCAAAATGAAATACTAGTGACGCTTCTTTGTTAATTATGTTAATTTCTAGAACGTGAAGATTTATGTGCGAGTGAGGATAAAAGATTGCGGCTTCCACCTTGTCCACAGCCCCCTGAGGGTTTTGAAATGATTGACAGTGCTTATGCCAGTGAGTTTTTACTCTTACGCATCTTAGCTTCACATATGCTTTCAGAAAAATATTTTCGAATGATTTTTTGGAGTGATAGAAATTTTAAATCATATATTAGAGGCTTCATGGAGAATTCAAAAGGGGCCACTCCATTGTCTGGTTAGTGTTTTATAATCGTTCGAGTGATTTATTTGCTTTCTCTAGCCCAACAAACTGATCTCCTTTTCAATCCTAAATATCACGGGTCATATGTAATAATGAGAAGTTATGGAACTTTCTTGAAATGTACATTGATTACTGCAAGGTATACTTCTGAATTCTAAGGTTCTCGCATATGTGATTCTTCAGATACTCTCAGAACAGTGAGAAATCGTCGAAGACAATCGCTATAATGGTTCATAAAGAGCAAGACGAAGAAAGCTATTCGGTTCTCGGCAAACTTGTTGCCGCAAAGTATGCTAACATTGCCCCACTACTTGGTAACCCCAAGGTTTTTCTGGATATTATATATCGTATTAACTCCCCAGTCAGAATACTTATTCAAAAGGTAAATAGAAATTGTTAACCCAAATGAAATGAGTGCTGTTCCAGACGGATTTCTTTAGAGGCTGTAACTCCATTCCCGTTACGAACGATGTCTACGATCAAATCGTCAGTGACATTCCAGAAGACGGCATAGACCTAACGACTCTCAGAACTGGACCCTTGTCGGGTTGATGATACTCAAACACTCTTCTCACTCTTTTCTTTCAATGGAAACTTCTTAAAAGCCATACATAATTGTCATTTTGTTACGTTTTACCATCAAAATATGTTAATTTAAAGTAATCATATCATAATAAAATAATTTGTTTTAAATAATTTATTTCTGTATGTATGAGTGGGGTTTCTAAAGAAGAACGAGTTTTCTTCGAAGCTTCTTTGCGAACTCGGCCTTGCTGTACCGAACCTAAAACGAGAGAATAGTTTCAGGTGCCTTCCTCAAACGACTCACATTTCGGGCACCTGCATTCACTGCTTGTAGAACGTGATCGGATGAATACTTTCCTTGTTCTACTGGAATATCGCCAACAGGTGGTGGAGGTGCCTGAAGTAGTGTCATTAAATCTTTTTACTCCATTAGAAAGGGATGAAATGATGTTAGTTATTGATATCGAAGGTAAACCGAACATTAACTATAATATCAGCTGGCCTGGGATAATCTCCCAATGAGGAATTTTCATTAAATGAAGCTACGCTTTCTACATTTGCTCCAGAAGCATCTACGTATCCTTGGCTTCCTGTTTTTGGCGAGGAATATGTGGAAGGTACCCAAAATAGGGAATGACATTATGGTCGTAGCACGCAGTTAGTTGAAAACTCAAAAAAAATATGACGAATCTACTTACTACGTCAGCTTTCTCTTCATACTTTTCAGGAGCGGCTGGAGGAGGTGGAGGAGGTGGAGGAGGGGGTGGGGGTGGCGCCTACAAATATACTTTAGGGTGAGCACTATTAGGTTTTCAATACATCTCCTCCTTCTGGTTTCTCTTCATAATTATTCGCTGGTTTCTCGCCATAGCTATCAGCAGGAGCTGGAGCAGGGGCTGGAGCAGGAGCTGGAGCAGGCTAAAGAAACAAACTGAGTATAAAAGAAAATGAATGATTTCCTACTGCTGGAGCTTCAACATAGTTCTGTGCACCACCACCAGCTGGTTCACTGTCCTGAATAAAGAAATTATTTTAGAACTAGGCCGCGCTTTACCTTTCTATCTGGACATGGACAGTATTCAGCATCTTCCCCAACACCTCCGCTTTTACCGGGAAGACCTGGAATTCCTGGTGGTCCTCTTTCTCCTGGTGGTCCCTAATTTAATTGAATTAATTCAAAGCGTAAATTTTATAGCTTACTTGTTGACCCATTCCTCCGAGCGAGCCAGTGGATGCATCATCTCCACGCTCTCCTGGAAGTCCTTCATCTCCAGGCATTCCTTGCATACCACGTTCTCCTTTTGGTCCGGGAGCGCCTTTAGCATATCCGACTCCATTATCTCCTGGTGCTCCCTTCTCTCCGGTTGCTCCGCTAGGTCCAGGTCTTCCATGATCACCGTCTGTTCCTTCATCTCCTGGAGGACCTTCTCCTCCAGCAGCTCCAGGAGCTCCTTTCTCTCCCTATTTTCAGCATTCAGAAAAATGAAAACTAATATATATGTCTACCTTGGGTCCTCTTGGACCTCTTTTTCCTTTGTAACCAGCTAAACCGGGAGGTCCAGCTGGGCAAGGACTACATGCACCAGCTCCTTCGGAGTAGCTATCACTTGGAGGGCTAGCAGCAGCTCCTTCTTTTCCTGGATTTCCGTTCATACCGTCCATTCCTTAAATGGCTCATTGAGAATTGAAAGAATTAATTATTATGTACCAGGCATTCCTGGAGCTCCTGGAGGTCCCTTAGGACCGGCGGGACAAGGCTTGGGAGCCGGAGCGGCTTCTTGATCTTCATAAACAAAATAACTAAGATTTCATAATTTGTTCTTACAGGCTTGACGGCGAATTCTCACAACATCTCGTTTGTTCTTGATAATATGAGACCACATCTTATCGGAAACATCTTTCAATCCACCACTTTTCAGTTGGAGTTCATGTTCAAAATTGCATATCGTACAATAAAGAAAAGGAACCGCAATGAGCTACAACTTCATAATGAACAATCACACCGATTACAAAACAAACCAAAGTCAGAAGAGATAGGCCAGATACGAACGCGGCCGCGTTGGATGCGCGTTTGAAGGAATGGAACGAATCCATGTTCAGCATGAGGTTTGGAAACTCTAAGGTTTTATAGTGTTCTCATATCTGATGAAATTCATATAACTTGTTCAGCTCATGATTACATCTAGACCAACTCTTGACACACAAATGTTAATTGAATAGTGTCATATAAATTTTCCTTTAAAATGTAACCAGTTTTCAGATTTGAATGCGGATGTAGTATGTTAATTACGAATCAATAACTTCGCGGAGCATCATTTTAATTTTCGAAAACGAATGACACGGTTGTGTTCGAGTTTGCTGTGAAAACTTTATTTTTTAATTTTCAGAACAAACATAAGAAATCTTATACAGTAGATTAACAGGAGAAAATTGCTTAGCATGATAAGTAATAGACTGTTTTTATCTTTATTAACAGAACAAATTCATAATAGTTAAAGAAAAATGGAAGATTCGGTACTCGTAACGAAATTGTATTAGGTATTGAGTGTGGGAATAAGTAATTATTAATAATAATAAACTTTTCGTTTACTTTAGAGTGCCGTTGATGACTAGCTTGTCAATAACTGATACAGACATGATTATTATGGCAATGAAAGGCAAAACTTGTTCAATTTAATGATTTTGTCAATTTAGGAAATGTAAACTTCGAAAGAAGAAGTGGATTGTCACCGTTCATGTTCTCTATGCCGTTCCCAAAATGTGAGACAAGAACCCAAGTCAAAGCTATTTTACGATCGCAATTTTCCAAGAGCAAACTGATAAGAGTTGAGAAGCGCGACTTGGGAATTCGTGATATTTCACAATGCCATCGATAATTTGGCACGCTTCCAATTTTGAAATTTAGTTATAATTAGAGGCGAGCACTCGTTTCGCTATAAGCATTTTCATAACTTTCTAACGTACTAGCTCACATACCTCTACGAGTTTCTCATCCAGAGTCAGCCCAGGTTTCTTAAGTGGAATAGAAACGCCCTTCAAAATAGTTTTTTCAAAGATATGAGCAAGTTTTGAGTTTTAGAATTAGTTTCTTAAAAGTGAACAGAGAAGTGAGATCAGTTTTGGAATGATCTCCAAATTGGAAATTGAAAAAATGATTGAAATATTGGGGCACTGGATCTTGATCTCTAGAACGTCTTAAAGTTGCAGGAAAGATATTCCCTAACCTACTTCTGCCTAGTAGCTATTCATAAAGCTCTCTTTAAAATACGGGTGAACTTTCTTTAATGAACGTTAGGTGACAATTCGCTTTGGTTCTTTCTTTAATATGTGGGTGGACATTCTTTAATAAACCCTTAAAAACGTGTTCAATTGTTTAGGTGCATCACGAACTCAGACAAGCAACTCGGAATGAATTAAAACCTCTCCGTTGTCGTGGCTGGATTGTTGCATACGACTTTGCTCCAGAATGGAAAACTTCAAAAATATAAGTTAGTTTGCTGATCAAGGATATGCACATACTTCTTGCTCCTGGTTCTCTTGCTGTTGTAACAATATACTCACTCGTTTATGGTAACTATCGTGTTGTTCGAATGATTTTCGATCGGCAAACGTTTTTAAGCACACCTACAAGGAATTGATTGCATGACTTAATCAAGAATGGTCAAACCTCGCAGAATAGTGGTCTTTCTAAACGAGCCATAGGATGTTCAACATCAATGTGATCAACACAGTCGGTTCGACCAAGGAAAGCAGCTTTACATAACGGACAGTCATACCTTTAGCAAACACTTAGAAAAGGAGCTAAGTAATTAACCTACTTCTCGTATCCAATATTTCGTGCATATTCTAAAATCTCATTTATAGGCATATTCTCTGAATGTGGCGTCTTGAATGCTTCTTCCAACTTCCGAAGCTTGTCTTCCATAGGTTGGCATGGCAAAATTTCTCCTCTACGTATCTTCTCAACCCAACCCCGGGGATCGGTGCCCAATCCTAGCTTCCTGAGATTAAGACAACATGAGCAATGCACTGACTATTGAACTTCAAACCTCTTCCGTGTTCTAGTGGGGGGTGTGAAGAATGGTTCACCAGAACCACGCACAATAATGGCATCATCGGGAATATCTGCTGGTGGACGTCGATTACTGGAAATAACCGTTTGAATGTCATTCATGACGAAGTATACCAACCTTGCGAAGGGACGCCAAGCTTGTTCTAATTCTTCTTTAGTACTAACATGAGTTTTTAAATGTTTTTTCAAATTTCCTTTTAATCTGAATGCCAGCTGATTGAAAGAATGTATGTTGATTCATGGTACCTGCAGGTTTTTCCGCAATATGGGCAAGCATGTGGTGTAAATCCTGTATGAACAGATCTATGCTCGAATAAATTTGACTTAAATCGAAAAGTTTTTCCGCAAATATCACATTGAAATGGCTTTTGATCAGTATGTATAACAGAATGCTGTTGGAGACCTTCGAAACACCTTTTTATGGATTAGGTTTCTAATGAATTACCTTTAAACGAAACAAATATCTTATTACAAATATTACATTGATGAACAGCTCTAGTGGGGCCTATTTCGAGCTCTTCTTCATCCTGGAACTGGAATGGCAGTGGATAAGTTTCGATGTGAGAAGTCAAGATCTTACCGGATATTCTCCAGTTTCCATTTCATCCATTAACCTAACATCTTCTTGGTCTTCTAACCCATGCCCTTGATGTGTTTGATATACATCATGGCCCATATGATCCATTACAACGCCCAAACCTATACCGTATGAAAATAGAAATACTGTTTCACTGAAGCTAACCTGTATACTCGTAATGCTAAAAACCTTTTCTATGAATACAAAGGATATGTTCCACCCTGTAATTGAAAATCATTAAGATTTATAAAATTAAATTTTGTAGAATGACAACATAGATAAAGGACATATAAAATTTAAAAAAATCAATATCCTTGTAAACCTTCGAGTAATCCATTTTGCCAATCTCATCTTTAACAAGCTGTGTCATTACGAAAACAGTAAACATTTTTTTGTTTTAAGTTTCTAAATTTGAACTTTGAGCGTTTTTCTGTAGCGTGCTTTAGAGTTTCCAAACGATGCTTCGATCTTTTGACTTTTCTATCCAATCTGGATTCTATTTTGGAACATGGACAAAATTTGCATAAAAGCTTGTAAATATTGTAATTCATGATTACGATATCTTTTAAAAAGATGAAATTGGCGCGCGGATAACCCGTAGAGGTATGGTACAATACAGTAATTGGTAGACTTCTAGACACGCGACGCGACGCTTCTGCACGCGACGCGTCAATACTTACTCGCGACTGCGTCCCCCCGCTGTTTAGAGAATTTGGCGATATGCCAGTGTTTGTCAGTCGATAATAGTCGGTCAGATGATACTTGGCATGAAGAAATACTTGGACTATTGCGAAATATATTTTGATCGTATAACTTATGTGTTCAACATTCGCCGAGCATCATTATTTTTGCAAATTCAATTTTTTTGAGTTTTAGTTTTATATGGCACGAATTAAACAACAAAACACCCGTTCGAGGGAAGAGCCCCCCCCTCGGAATCGTTCCTTCGGAAAACTTGAGACCAAGAGAAAATTAATAAAGAAAATCCAGCATCGACAGATTCAAGTGAAGACGAAAAAGCCATCAGGTAGATAATTTGTATATTTTATGTTATTCAATCATTATGTTGCAGCTCGCGGCAGCTTGGCCTTGAAAGAAATTCGTAAATATCAAAAAACTACTAATCTATTGATTCCAAGGCTGTCATTTCAAAGAGTTGTGAGAGAAATTGCTAATAATGTATGTTCATTTATGAATTTCCCATAAAGAGAATTTTCATTTTAAGATGAGTACGAGTCATGAATTACGCTGGCAGTCTGATGCAATATCGGCTCTCCAGGTTGGTGCAATTAGGCGTCAGTGACATTCTCTCAAATGATACTGTTATAGGAAGCTGCTGAAACATATCTGACATTATTGTTTGAAGACTCTAATTTGGCTGCAATCCACGCTAGACGTGTAACCTTGATGCCACGTGATATGCAACTGGTCCGCCGTATCCGCGGAGAAAGAAACTAAAGATCTCCTTCCTTAAATTCGTTTCCATGCATGAAGTCACCATAGTTCTAAACCGTGTATAACATAAGACTTAAATAAATTTCTGTTTATATTACATATCTCGTTGCTGTTTTCGTTTTTCGATTTGATGTATCTGGGTTGTGTCGTGATTTTTTCATTGGCTGTGGTGTTCAGACAATGGTAAGGAAACCGTACTATTCACCGGTTGCTCCAGCAGCTGGGGTCACACCCACAGTACGAATGAATAGTGGAATGTCTGAGGTTGCAAAGAATTTTTTTTTCGATAGATTTAATAGTAGATTAAGGTTTTGGATTGGACATGTACTGATGTCAGGAGATGGCTTGTAGCCAATGGGTTTTCTCAGTATGCCGGTATTATGGCCGATCAACACAAAGTAAGGAGGGGGACAGTAAATAGCTAGTTAGATATATTCAGATTGATGGTCCTGCCCTGCTTCTATTGAAAGAGCATGATTTGCGAGAGCAACCATTGGGCATCAAATGTTTAGGTGATATAAAACGCTTGTTCGGAGCGATAGAGAAATTGAGGAAGGTTCGTTATCATCTTTGCACTCTTGCTCATAAAAATTTCCAGTGTTCATCGGGTTCTAGAACTGCTTCAGAGTCTTTAGATGATGTACTACTTTATGTAGAGTATAATAAGAGAAGGAGAATGTCTATATCAGGAGAAGATCTGTTCGTGACTACAAAACAGAACGCTATCATAACGTTTGTTGATTGTTTCTGTTTCCATGAACAGTGTCGTTATAGGGATGATGAATTTGTGGAAACTTTATCGAACACAGGAGATTTTCATTCAGTTAGACTGATATCGAGAGATGAGGTACGTGGATAAATGGGGTTTGTGATTATCATATTCTCTTCAGCTTATCCGAACCGTTGAAAGTCCTGACACCCCTAGTAAAAGCTTAGCCAAGTTGACGATCTCATTCCTGTATTGTTTAATGTCTCTTCTAATCACTGCGTTCGTGATGGTTCTCGTCCATGATCGTGTACCTGGTTAGTATTGTACACTCAAACCTTTCATTAAATCAAGTTCAGATATGAAAACATACCCTCCTCTTCCTGATATTGTTTTGGATAACCTACCCTTGATTCCTTGGGCCTTTGATATGTGTGAATTGATCGGTGTTGCCCTGTGTCTTGTGTGGTTAACCGTTTTAGTCTTCCATAAGCATAGGTTTTTCAATTTGAATTTCCAATTTACTGTTCTATACTTCAGAGTGGTCATAATGCGACGAATGTTTTCGTTAGTAGGAACAGTTTTCTTACTACGTTGTATAACGATGCTCATCACTTCGTTGTCCGTTCCCGGTGTTCATTTAGAATGTAGAGCTAAGGTAATGATAAACTTCCGTGATTTTCATTTCTTATTCATAATTTAGAGTTACGGAAGCTTCCAAGAGAAATTGATTCAAGCTTTCCATATCTGGTCAAAATTAGGAATGTCCATTCAGGTATTGCTTTTCGAAGGACCACTCATTACCTAGGTTTTCACATTCTAGGGAGTTAGAACTTGCGGTGATTATATGTTCAGTGGACACACCACAGCTATCACATTGCTCAATCATTTTATAACAGAATGTAAGGCATAATCGGATCATCATCATTCTCTTGAACTTTCAGATACGCCACCGTCTTGGACAACTTTACATACGGGAACATGGGTTATGAACTTGTTCGGAATATTTTTCATCCTAGCTGGTCATGAACACTACTCCATTGACGTTTTTATCGGTAGTCATAATATTAGAATTGCGTAATATACTCGTGTTTTCAGCTTTTTATATATCATCAAGAATGTTTTTGTACTATCATGCTTACGCTTATAATCATGCCAATCTTACTGCCACTGATGATCGAATTCGTTTGTGGTTCCCTCTTGGTTGGTTCTTTGAAGCCGGAAGTCTTGGAAAAGTCAGCTCATTCTTCCATCATTATAGTTAGTAGTAACGTCTTTGCAGGTGCCAAACGAGTTTGAGATGCCATTCCCTATCAAGTATCCTATGTTCTCGAAATCTCCAACACCACCATCTTCGCCATCATTATCTCATAAAGAAGGAAAAGAAAAGAGTAGAAAGAACAGTAGCAAGAAGAAAGCATGTTGATGCTTCTACGGGTCGGTGCATAGTGCCTCTTCGCACCAAATTGTGATATCTGCTTTGCCTAGTCTGTCATAGCTATCAATTATACAGGGATTCTTGCTCGTGTAGCTTCGTGTTCTTCTATATATTTTCTTTAATAGACTAATATTTCAATATCAAATTTTCTTTTCACTGCGTTTTATCCTGAATTCTATATTTCGAATAATAAGAGAAATAGTATTACATCGCTGCCTCCTCAGTATTTCATTCGTATCGCATAAATTTAAAAATAGCTCATGTATTTCCTTTCTGAAATCAGTTGTAATGTAAGATCAGAACTCTAGGGAAGCAACCGTTCTTGATAAAATGGGGAATTGAAATAATGAGATGTAATTTCATTAGCGTATGGTTGCGTGAGATTAAGACGGACGCTGGGCTCTGATTGAAAACCTCACGTATGCTAATTGAGCAGGAAATCACGCATACAGTATGTGGCGATAGGTTCAAAAAGTTTTTTTTTCTGTTTTATCAGGAGATGAACTTCGTTTTTTTCTGGATTGGTAGTGTTAGGGTTATCAATATTATGATAAGTCTTCCTATTCGAAGCTTCTCTCATGTTCTGGTCGAGTAGGTGTTCCAGGTATACACTTTATTTTGATGAATCTTTTCATTTTCTTTCAGCAAACATACTTTGCTAAAAGGATTGAAGGTGTTAGAGTTAGCAGGCCTAGCTCCAGTACCACACTGCGGTTTATTATTAGCTGATGCAGGTGCAGATGTGACTGTGGTTGAGAAAAAAGTTTGTTATTTGTATACTGCCTACGTCAAATCGCTATTCAGAAGAGCAATGACTTTGTCGAACAAAGATTAATAAGAGGGAAGAGGCTTGTGCAGGCTGACTTGAAAAGCTCTGCTGATTTTAAAGAAATCAAAGACATGATATGCAAAAGTGATATTCTTCTTGATCCGTATAGACCCGGAGTGCTTGAGAAGATAGGACTGGATCCTGTGAAACTTTTGGAAGTAAATTATAGTTCTTCTCATAATGAATTACATTGTACATTCTAGGAGAATCCTAAACTGATTGTTTGTCGGCTGACAGGATACGGCCAATCGGGGCCTATGAAGAATGAAGCTGGTCATGACATTAACTATGTTGGATTATCAGGATTACTTCCCGTTATAAGCAGTCATAATACGAAGCAGCTTTGGCCACCTGCTAATTTGCTGGCTGATTTCGCTGGAGGGGGACTTACAGCGGCGTTTGCAGTCTTGGTTGCAGCATTGGCTAGATCATCAAACGGTATTCTCAAAATGAACAAGCTTTCTAAACAATTAAATTTTTCAGGCGGCAAAGGGTGTATTATTGACTGTTCGATGGTAGATGGGTTAGCATACTTAGGTACATTCATTAACATGTTCCAAGATGTCGACATGTTTTGGAAAGAGCAATACGCAATTTTTAAAGGCAACTATCCAACTTACAGGTAGAATCGTTCATAGATATCACAGTGAACTTACTTTAGGACATACTCGACTAAAGATGAGAAATCTGTTGCCGTGGGCGCGCTTGAACCGCAGTTCAAACAAATTCTTTTCGATAGTATGTTCTTATCAGCTTGTTTTAGTACTTTCTTTTTTTTCCGCTTTGAAAATGAACGATAAGATAACTGAAATTGAGAAAGACCCTGCAGGCATAACGTCTAAATTGGAAAAGATCTTTCTGCAGAAGACAAGAGAGGAGTGGACTCAAACCTTCAAGGGTTTGCACATCGACCGACGAACTATCCTTGATTAGAGAAGTATTTTTTAGGGAAAAACGCCTGCGTGACACCTGTCCTTGATTTATCAGATTGCGGAACTCATGAGCACAACAGTTCTCGGGGGACATTCTATTCAGAGAGAGATCATTGGATTCCGAACTTTGCTCCTAAGTTTTACAGCAAGGAGGAGTTTGTAGAGTTACGTAAAACGTTATAACTTTTTTCTAAGTGTTCTGTGATTTGTAAAAGTGAAAAAAACGATAGAAAATAATTTTTGTATCAATGGAATTTCCCTAGGGTCTTTCCGTCGCACATCATCAACGACGATAGAAACGAGAAAAAGAAGATCTTATGAAAACAAGATAATTAAGCCTACGAAACGAACATACGAACTTTTTTCGAAGCAAATATTGGGAAAATATCTGAAAAGTGCAATACATTTTTCATACATGTTGAGATATGGCAGTTACATCTTAAAATGAGCCCTGAAGATGTAGAAATATTAAAATCCCTAGAATTTCCTGCAATATTTACCAACACAACTATCTTCCACCAATGCATCTTACCAGTCTCCTCATTTTTCAACCTATTCACTCTTTATGTCATTAAGACTCGCTCACCTAAATCTATTGGAGCTGTCAAGAATTATATGATATGGCATCAGGTACGAGTCATGCAATCATATACTTCTCACTACGCATATCTTCAGCTATGCAATATTTTCACTGACGTATGGATCACGGCTTTAGTACGACCTAATCTATTTTATCCGTTCTTCGTTGTTGTGACCAATGGTCCTTTGAACCTGTTAATGACACCGATCCTCCAAACGGTAGTTATCCTTTAACGTTACTAATTTCTTTTCTTCTTTTTCGTTTTAGAGCATACTTATTGGCGCTCTGCATTCTACTGCTTGTGTGATTGTTATAACATTGTTTTATCGATATCAAACGTTATTACCATTGGGTCACTTCTTGAAAATTCGGGATGAGATTCGTATTCATCAAGCTGCTGTTATCGTTTTCGTCTTTTCATTCCTCAATGGATTTTTTTCATTGTATGTACTGAACGTTGATATCGAGAGTGAAAAGGCGTACTTGGTTGAGGCAATTCAATTTATATTAAAGCAGTTAATTCTTTGATATTCTAGACCCATCCTTTTCTCAAGTATATTTTTGCGTATAAACACATTTATTGTAGGAGGCATGATAACTTTCTTCTCCTCTTCACTTTGAACATCGTTGTCATGTTCAGTAAGTCACTATTCCTCTCTAAGACTCAGCTTTGCATTCTTACAGCCTTTTGTGTCATGATAACTGTCACGATGCTTCTATTAACTTTCACAATAACTGATAGAAATGCCAGTGCCAAGACGAAACGGATGCAGAGATTTTTCACTTTGAAGCTATCATTTCAAGTAAGACCTTACCTTGCTATAACCGTCTCTATTCCTTCCAGTTAGTTCTACCATTATGGTTCCTGGGTATACCTGGTTTCTACTTAGCCGTTTCGGTGTTGGGTAAGATTTATACTCCGTATAGTGGAAGTAAGTCTGCAAAACTAGTTACTTTCAAACATTTGCTCAGTTTGCAACATGGGTGCTGTTTTTGCCGTCTCAACTCACGCGTTGGTCTCTTCAGTAACAACATTGTTTTTTTGGAAGAACTATCGCATGTTTGTGGTTTTCCTCTTCGTAAACATCTTTAAGGTATGATATGTACAAGAATTAAGCTCAAACAGTCTATTGTTCAGAAGTTGAAAGGCAATTCAGCTTTCCCCATATTTCCATCTCATCAACCATCAAGCAGTCAGTTTTTTTTAAACAAAAAACAATTAAAATAAAATATTTTCAGATATGCGTTGAAATCTATGCACAATTAACGCCAATATCTAGAATCAATTATAAGAACATATATAAACAACCGTTCATCTCTCTCTCATAATCTACAAACGAAATGATTGCTTGGCAAGTAAGCACGTGTTACGTGACTTACGTGCATATTGAGAATATTCAAATTACGTTCATTATAGCTTGAATCTATGAATTAATAAAAGTCTTTATTCATGCGCAAACTATCATAAGCGCTTTATTGCAATTCATTTGAAAATGAATAAATATTACTTCGAAAGACACATTACACGAAATGTGAGAATGAAAAGATCACTGGCGGATAACAGTAAAAGTGAATTCATATTAAATACAAAGATTGAAACGAAAGAGGGGAGATTTTTGGCTGTAGGGCGCATACCGTCGAGCCCTTTAGTTATCAGAATCCTAACCAATCTATTTGAATGCGAAACATCCGCTTGCTAAATGTTTCCAAGTAATTGCTGTTTCTTGTGTTTGCAAATTAAAAAAAAAAAGAAAACAATATAAGGATAAGTATAAGAAATGAAAGAAAACGGTTGAAAGGAGTTGTTTAGCTACTCAATGAGAACTATTTAGGGTCTGTAAGGAAGAGAGAGAGAAAGAGAGAGAGAAAGAGAGAAAGAGAGTCTTTACAGAAACAATGATGAAAACAAAGTAAGAAACTAGTATCGGCCTAGTCATATATTGCACAAAAACAATACTATAAATTCAATAATAATGATAATATGAATATGTAAATGTGGAAGTTTATCCTTGAATTCTTGACTCGACCGATTTGTTCTTTTCTTTTCGATGCTCTCGTACATAGTATTCGATCGTTTCCATGAGACCTTTGTCAAATGATGTTGTACATTGCCAGCCCATTGTCTGAAAATTGTTTTTACGTATTTCAATCATTTTCAAATCTCATATGATTACATTTCTTATTTTTGTAAAATCTATATAATAGCGACGATCGTGATAAGGCCGATCAGGTATGTGAATCAAGGCAGGTTCACACTCATCTCTGAAATTTTCTTTTTTTCATCATTACAATAGCTATCCATTTTATCATGCCTGTCTTGCAGCTTATTAACGATTGAATGAATTTTCCATGTTAACTCTCTATTGGTCATCTCAAAGTCTGTTCCGATGTTATAAACTTCTCCTAAGGTTCCATCTTCGGCTACTCTACGAATAGCTTCAGAGCAATCTGCCACAAACATCCAGCTTCTGTGAGTATGGATTGTACTACTATGAAAGCTACTCAGACATACCTGGTGTGTAGGCCGTCTCCCATCAAAGGGTACGGCTTACCTTCTAAAGCCAACTTCACAAACTTAGGGATTAGTTTGCTTGTAGCTTGACGAGGTCCGTATACGTTATTCATGCGGACCATCACATAAGGAAGTTTGTAAGAATGCTGCAAACCATGACTTCACTTAAGGCTTCCGCTTTATCTACCAACCCAATAAGCTCTGATTATCATTTCGCACGCTGCTTTACTGGCAGCATAAGGGTTTGTAGGATTTGGAAGAGATTGCTCGTTTTTGGGTGTGCTGTCCGCGAAAGAGTCACCATAAACTTCATCTGAGAATTCTTATGAGTAAACAACGCAAGATGTACTAGTTACCGGTACTGATGTGAACAAATCGTTTGAGGCCTTTATAGTTACGATTAGCCAAACTTTCTAAGAGAGTTGTAGTAGATATGACATTATCTTGGATTGTCCCTATCCGATCTGTGTACGATTCATCAACATGGGTTATGGCAGCGAAGTGAATCACCATATCAACCTGAAACTCGATCCTGTTATCTTCTCTCGAGACCAAAATGTAGCGAAAAGCAAGACAACTGAATGCTCGTTTTTATCCTTTACCTGATGCTCATGTAAGCATTGATCCAACTTTTCCTGATCTTCTAAACGGGCCTCAACGAAAACATAACGATCCGAGTCACGAATACGCTTTATGACATGCTTAGGCGATGCTCCGAAAGCCAATTTATCATAGTTTATAATTCTGCAAAAATCATTTCACCATTGTATCAGAGAGAGAAAGAGGGCTTTCTCACTTGCAATTACTCCATTTATCAAACATGTAGTTAATGAAATTAGATCCAATAAAGCCGCATCCTCCAGTTATAAGGACGCATTTGGGTTCATTCAAGTTCGTGGACATGTCGTTAAGAATGCCTGAATTATTTTTTTTTGTTATCAATGATTTTAGTACTGGCACATAGCCAAGAGGGCACAGATATCGATAAATGAGAAAATCCAACATACAAATAGATAGCTAGAGAGACAAGTAAGAGCATATGGACAACATGGATAAACCGAAACGGAGGCGAAATATGGAGATAGTTATCGTGTGCTTCGGGTGGCTGATATCGGAATTTAATCAATGCTTCGCGATTTCTGGTTTCACATATACATCATCAGCATCCAAGACACACACACACACATACAAACGCTCACACACGAGATTGCGGCGAAGACATCCATTGACCATAACGGGCTTAAGTCTCTTTCGTTCTATGTTTCGAATTGACGTCATTATCAACGCTATGAACAAGAAAAGCAAAAGTTGAAAAAAGGTGAATGATCTTTAAGTACGTGCATGGGGTGCATTAGATATCCTCAGATCAATCATTCATACAATTGCACAGTTTCAGAGAAAGTTCCTTTTTTTGGGAAACAAAGTTTTAGCAAGCAGTGGTCATTAAAAACTTTTTCTTCCAATCATGCTTCCATTTTACAGCGGATCGGATCAATATCGCTAATGAGTTCTTGAACTGCCCAGTGAGCGCATGAGATCAAATGAGAGAGCTCTTGATATCACTAGAGTGTATACGATGCGTTTTCTATTTTCCAATAGGTTGCTGCTGTAAATTTCATATCAGTTATACTTTTCGTTTTCATGAACAAAGCCATGAGCTGGTTCATGATAATTACTGGTTTCTTTTGATGGGATCCGGTCCTTCGTTTCTAGTCCTCACACGACGGGATGCGAAAATCGTGGTCGAGGCCAGAAGATGTTCTGGCAGACTATCTCATCAATAGATGGTTCATTCGTTCATTAATTTCATACTGTTGCATGGCTGACTGACTGGATAAAGTCAACGGACATGGGATGGACGGACATCTGACGAGAGTGCGGGGCATTTTTTCGAGATATAAATGACAAACTGGTTCGAAGAATAGCAGTCGCCTACGTAAGGATGGAAAGATAACGGGTTTCTATTTATCTGCCTAGACATTCAGATTGGAATTTTGTTAGAGCGTTAAAGCAGAAATGAATATGTAAATATAAGAAGATCAAAACACAACGAAAAATGGACAAAGCAATGATCAGCTATGATCAAACTCAAGTTTTGCAAAGGGGGGAGGGAGCAAATGGCATAACTAGCATTCCTTTTCTTAGAAGATCCAAAGAAGTTCTCACGCTTATCGTGTCCAAGTCGAGAAACATTAAAATGAAATCGAAATTTCAATAGAAGCTGATGAAATCTTCCTTACTACGGTTTAAGAACTTCATACAGAAGACCGATAATGGTAGTGCAGGGCGTCATCAGTGAGTTCTTTTGAATGAATTTTCATCGTAATTTCAAGTTTTTTGTTTTTTCATTCAAACGATAAGTATAAAAAGAATATTTCTAATTAATATACGATGTAAGTTAATTTGCTAACAAAATCAATCAAAAAGGGTTTTTGAGTTGAAAAAGAAAAATATTGGCCGACTGACCGATTTTTTTGAAAAATGTTGTACTTACGTAAGGACAATAATGTTTTTGTAGTCTAATAGATTATTTCCGGTGACTATCTTCTGAAAGAAGAGGAACGCATGTAGTTTTCGTCCGTTACGTTGACCGGTTCTCTCTCGGTATGAAAGGGGTGGGGGAGATGAGAATGTTGTAAAGATACAGAATATGATCTTATGATACTTGAGCATGGTTAACACGTTCACAAAGACGGTTGGAGTTTCCGGTACATGCGGTTGTCAGTCAGTTCGAAAACTCGAAAACTTCCTATGTACACATTAATAATAAGGATTCAGATGATGAATAGCTGGATTAAATAGAATATCGTTGCAAACTCTATTTCAATGACATGATTGGCAAACATGGTCAGTGGATATGATTGAGATGCGATTCTCAGACGGTTGGAAAGATGATGGCTTTTGATTTACACAAAGCCTGAAGCAGATTGACTAAGAAGAAGTAATTGCGATAATTGAATCAATCAGTGAAGCATATTCCACATAAATTTCTGTGAGATGAACAGCATAAGTTAAACGCTGAGAAAAAGCTGTTAGTCTGAAAAGAAGTTTTCTTGTAAATGGAACTGAATGATTGAGGGTTTGCATGTCTGATCGGTTGATCTGATGTAATCGAGTATAGAACCTAGCTATACCCGCTATTCATATATAATCTTGAATGGGAACTTTTAGATTCTAAAGGCATAGTTATAGATAGAAAGTGCAAGAACAGTTCTGACACTATCTCCTAGCCGTCATCAAAAAGGATATAATACAACATTCTCTAACCGGTGCAAAATGATTATCTCTGTCGTCATACGTATCCGGGACGTTAGACGTGAACGAAAAGAGAATTTAACAGATAATATTGAGTTTGATGAGGTTAGATGCTTATAATCATATTGAGATGCTACGGTATGAGAATGGAAGATAGAAGAACCTAATCATGATCAGATGAGCAAAGTAATGTTAAAGAAATATGGAACACAATGATCGTCAGAATATGGAAAAGGGAAAGAAGACTGTTGTAAATACTCGAAGATCATTGGAAGACACATATTTGAGAGAAATTCAAGAGAAAATGGCTGCAGAAATGAGAAATAGAGTTGAAGATAAGAAGGAAGTATTGGTCTACTATTAACGTAAAAAAGAGAACTGATTATATGCGTTAGAAGACCAAAACAATCGGCTTGCTAGTCAAACTTAAATAGAAAGTGGGATTGTGAGAAGGGGAAAGTGGTGAAGAAAGACTGGGAATCACATTGACAAGATGATGGAGGGATGGAAGAGAGAAAAAGTTAGAAAGGGAATGAACACCATAAACATGACAATTAGAGACGATAGAATTAGAACTAAGCCATAATAGAGAGAGCTTGATATGGATATATAAAAACTTGGAGAGAACGAAAGCAGAGCATGAAAGATGGAAATAGTGATAGAAAGGCAGTATTGAAAAAAATATAGATAGCCTATCATCCTCGGGGGGTTTTGGACGCTTTCTTGACGCTAGCCACTGGGACTGTAGACCCGACCTCTTTCCTATTCGATGCTGATACGCATCTCATTCATTTCTCTTCTTCTTCTCCTTCTTTATCCAATCTCATATCTTTTCTTTCTTTTCGAGGTTCGTGGTAGCTCTACTTGCCTTCACCTTCAACAGATATTTCAAATAAACTTTCGTTTATTAGCCATTAGCCTGAACGTCCCTTATTCTTCAAAAATTGAAAACTATCAGGTCGTCCCCATCCTGTTCGATGTGATAAAAATCGTTAATTTCAACTTACGTAGTTTACGTTTGAGATCTTAATAGCTCGTTCCCACCGAACAGATGATGTTCAAGATTAATTCAAGATTGTAACAGTTTATTCTTCTATTATTATAAATTCTCTTCACATAAGTGCAAGACGTCGTCTTCCATCAAAGGATTTTGTAATTAAAAAAGAAATTGATGAACACGGCGATCGAATAAGCAAATTCACTTTCAACAACCTCAATACTATGAAAACGAAGTAGCAAAGACATATATGAATGAGTTTTTATTATGTCAAATAATGGAACAGAGACAACTTATTAAAAACAATTTTGTATTTACACAACATGTCTTAAACCAAATTCAACACTTGAATTTGTTTTTCATGGAATTATCTATTAGGAATGGTGGACCATGTCCTGGCACTATCCATAACGTATCAGAACACATGATTTTCTTACGAGATAAAGCTTGCTGCGTCTATAAAATCATATTTCTTTCTGAATTTGATTGAATGATCACCTCATTCGCACTGAGAGGCTGCCACATAATCGGATAGTCGATATCTTCCTTACGGATGAAAACATCTCCTAAATAGCATCGCATAGAGATATCTCAGAATAAAAACAAGGAATTTGAGTGCGAACTAGGGTCAAAAAGTATAAGGGGTGTATAGATAATACTTGTCTATAGTTCTCAGGAAGTGGTAATATGGACGCCATTTACAAGTAACGAGGAAATGCTTATGACTGTAGCAGGACTTGAATGCAAACGTCTACGATGACTTCAATACAACCGAACACGTGCGCTGTATGGAATGCAACAGTTCTTGAAATATTAGAATGCAATCGTTCTGAACCTCTATGAATGCAACAGTTCTGAGCTTATTGGAATGCAACTGCTCTGTGCAAACCAAGAAGGAACTTGGCAGTGCTGCAAAACTATAGGCACACAAGTCATGGTTTGCAGGTTCTATGAATTACTGGGGGGAAGTTCGGGGCAGTTTTTTTGAATCGAAAATTGTTGTGCTATCTTAGCTACCTGATATTGTAACAGTTCCCATGGACTGCTCGTCACGAACAACTATGGATAGGTCATCTGAGGAATGACCAGGCGTTCTAATCAAGTTCACATTAGAAGTTATCTTCAAGCGATCAGTCTAAATCATGTATTCATAACAAGCTCATTGATAGAAAAACCAACTTCAAACAGATCCGAGAGATTGAACCTAGTTCCTTTGTGTACATACCACCCCTTTAATGTTTGATACTTAATATCCATCACGGAACTGTACCTGATAATGTGTCGCATCGGGGAAATCGTTGATGCCGCCAATATGATCGGGATGGCCATGGGTTGTAACCACAATATCGATATTTGGAGGTGCTAAACCCAAGCTGCTCAACTCTTAAATCAAATAAGTTACATTAGATCTACTAAGATGAGTAATACTGTTGAGGAGCAATGTTCGCCCATTAATATCCGTTCCTAACCCCGTATCAATCAATATGTTCTTTCCTTCATCCTGAACTAACGTTATAGTTGCCAGAAAAGTGTATGAGCCATCATTCATTTGTTCGGCTGATCCCTAAATCTCAGAACTTTTGGGAAAAAACATAACGAATTACGAACGTTTCTTAGAATTGTAACGACAGGCTTTTTCTTAACGATTGGCTTCTCACGTAATGGTTTCGCTGGCTTAGATTGATCCTTCGTTTGTCTTATTTGCTTCAAAACTAAACTAAGCTGCTCGCTGAGCTGTTTCATTTTTTGTTCCCAGGCGTCTTTTTCCATTGGCATGAACTGTTCTTCATCAATATCAACGTCTGTGGGATCCATAGATTCCCATTGCCCTACAGCAGACTGTAACATAAACGTTTAAGATGAAGGAACATGTACGAGATAACCGTTTGTGCCATAACGTTCTCAATACGTTTTTGAGAGATTGATATTTGGGGCGCTACATCGTCAAATTGACCTTTTGTCTTACGCTTAGTAATGAATTGCTGAATACAAACGATAAACGTTTCTCACTTTCAATTTGTCATACTTGGAACAAGCCAGCTAGTTCTTCGAAAGACTCCAACGAGGGTTCATCTCCTTTCTCTTTTGACTTCTACAAAACGTACTTTGTTTTCTAAACGAGTATGGCTATTACTCAACTTTTTTTCCTTTGATCTTTTTCGGCTTATTCGATGGTGTTGTCGCCTGATGCGGTGGCTCAGAGAAACCTTTGAGCGAGCTTTCATTCTTTTTTTGCTCTTTTTTTGCATCTGATGACATTTTCAAGCTTTTAATTGGAACTGGCCGTTCATTGCTATCTATTTTCTGAATATTAATTACTACTCTCTAATTCTTTCGAATATACCGTAGGATTGGCATTATTTCTTTTCATGGAAGCTAAGTATGACGCAGGAGCGATTATGGAAGTAGGCATTATAATCTGGCCGAAACCTCTTTGAGGTTGTTGAATTGGAGCAGATGATTTTTCCTCTGCGTTATACTGAAAGGTATTTTGTGGTTAACTTCCACTAGCCGAACCTACAATTCCTCCGCCACTCATAACACTTGGATCATTTAAGTCTAGTAATGGATGATCCTCATCGTCAAATGAGTTAGGAGGGGAGAGAGCATCTTGCAGACTTAAACGTGCAACACTCCCATGGCCCTATAACAAACATGTTTTGAAAGGTACATATGTCTATCCTACTTTTCCACGAACGAAGTCCCTGAGGATTTTGCTATTCCATATTCTCTGCCTCACTTCAGCTGTAATTATATATTCAGTGGGTGTAAGATGCAAATCATATCCTTACCTAGGTCTTGCTCACTAGCAACAGTTTGGGTTGATAAAAACAGATACGGCAATAGTAAGTATATCATGTCATCGCACTATGCATCGGAAAGCTGAAACTGGAAAAGTGAATAGATAACTCTGTTTTATATCGTAGTTGCGGAATAACCCTTTGGATCGAAACAATTGTGATATCACCCACATTGATTTTAAAATTCAAAACATGATATAGAGTGAAAGATGAACTAACCGACGAGGAAGAAGTGAGATGGCTGAAATCTGGGGAAGACAACCGTCGAGGTAAGATGCTGGAGAGACAAAAGTTGACCCATATTAACAATAATCGACCACGGTTATTGTGTGAGAGACCTTTGACGCCAGCCGGTTTATTTCTCTACTTAACCAGTGAACAGGAAAATGTTGCTTTCGTCTTCTATAGGTCTTTTTTGTGTTAAAAAAAGAAAGTTGAAGGATGAATGAGAAAAGAGTCAAGAGTCTAACTGGAATCAAATGAAAATTAGATACCTTAATGAAGCAGCACACCTTGACAACAGATCAACGAACATATGAGGATGAGCGATGATTGGAGAATGATTAATGAAACTGATTGAAGCAGAGCAATTGTAAGATGTAAAACACAATATCTAAAAAAAATAATTATAAACAATGTAACATCATATGATGTAATGATGGACCTGTCAATACTTGGCATTACCCGGTCGAGAGTGTGAAACTTCACACTACTGACCTTCAACTACAGAGAGCATCCTACACAGAACATTTACATAAACAAATATTCTATCCGCACCTACATGTTCCTCGAGTATAGTACTCATTGCGTAGTATTGTTTTCATAGTATGCACTAGCTAGATCTTATTTACTCTTCACTATTTTTTCCAGTCTGATTCAAATGATATCGCATCAGTTTTAGATTATTCGGTCAATTGTGTATCATTCCTAAGACTTGATAAAAGCTTTCTTCTCTTCCAAAGTTTCTGTTTTTCTATCCGTTCAAGCGGCACATTTTTTTCCATCTAAACTGCTTGTGCAACAAGAACTATGTCGCTTTCTTAATAATATGTTGTCGCAATCATAATTATAACATGCCTCCGGTTATCTACTTGTACGAGAACCAACCGCTACTCTCATTAATTTTCATGAAAATGAATCAGTACTTCTAAGTACAAGCAACTGCTTGTCCAGCTCCACCGCTCACAATGTGATCATTGAGAATGATTCTTCAACTTTTGAAGAAAACCAACCGCTTTCCTAATAAAAATTTCTAAAAATGATCCTGTTTTCTACATCGTCAGTAGCCATTAATCGATTATCTCTCAATCTTCATAATTACGTGACTATTTCAACATATATTCTAATTAGGGCTGCTCTGACTATATCGATTTACTCATTAAATGTTAAGCTATTTTGGGAAATCATACTAAATTACAAATTTTATTTATAATCACATTCACGCTCTCCATATCAGATTTGGTATTCATTTCCAAATGTTGTGATACAACGTGTATGCTCACATTTTCTTTTCCACAACCGTCATTCAATCCAAACAGAATCTCGATGTGCATGAGTCTGAGCTGTTCTTTTAACATATCTAATGATTTCTCCGATTCACACTAATCAAATTGTGAGAGTTAGCAAAAATGTTTACATTGAGAAACATCTCAAGTTTGCTTTCTTTTTGATCATGGTGTATAGCGGTGAGCGTTAATAACAGCTCCCTATTGATTTTTAAGCTGTGCACTACTATTATTTTTCATTAATATCCTTTATTAAGAGCATTTGTTGATTACTCAAATAATATTGGTTTGGAATATTCTATAGATCAATATGACCTGTGCGGGCCAGATAGAATCTCATACAATAAAAACATTTTTCCAACGCTTATACCATTAATGGCTCTAATTACTTAATCACGTGAAAGCATTCATTGTCTAACATCTATTTATATAAATTCTTATTATTGATTTTGTTTCTCAAACTCCTTCTCTTATCAGGACTAAGTACTACTTTTTCTATCCAAACCAATTTGCTTGCTGTTTACGTAGCTACGCGATGTCTTTGCAATACTTCTTGGAGTCTAGTTCATCACGTTTGTTCGCTTATATATCCATATTAGCATAATTGTGATGATTTTCTGTACAATATTGTGTTCTTCTTTCGATTCCTATTCGTTGAAGCTGACTGTTGTATGGTTTTCAGGTATTAAACCTATAATAATTACACGGATCAATGGCTCGTTCCAACGATTCTGAAGATGTCGAAAAGATTAAGAAGTATATACGGATGCTAGAGACCGATGATAAGGTTGGAAATTAGAAGAAGCATTGTTAACTCTGGTTTTTCAGGTTGGGAAAGCTTTAAAAAAGCTTGATAAGGTTGAAATGACTTTGGATCTCCTCCAAAAGACTAAAGTTGGAAAGTTTGTTAACAAGTTTGGTGCTCTGTTTCAAACTCTTGGTAAAGCTTCTGTTAAAGATTACAAGGAAATACTGTTCACGGTGAAGAAGCCAAGCGTATTGTCGGTAAGTGGAAACGAATAGCGAAGGAAAATGGAGTTCCCACGACTGCATGTACAAGCTCCAGCGATTATCCTTCCAGGTGCTTTCCATTGATTAATGTTGTATCTCACGTTGTTGTTGCAGTTCAATTGTTAAAACGGAAGAGAATCCAACTAGAAAGAGGCAACGTTCGAGCTCTCCAATTATCAAAAGGGAAATTAAAGCGGAGGAAGCCGATTACTCTGAAACAACTAATGACGAAGTTACTAGCCAATCAAAATCAAAACGAGTAAAAGTAAACGACCATTGTAGACATATATTAATGAAACAAAATTTCAGGAAGAACCTACTGCCTTTGAGCAAGCCCTTGCTAGTTCGGTTGTACAATCGAAGCCTAAAGTAAAAAAGGTTAAGCGAGAAAATATACTGGATTTACCAGAAGTGGATTTGAACTACCGTCCTCTACCTACTCTAACCTTATCTTCTAAGTCAACAGCTCCTCCTCCACAAGGTTTTCATTCACTTAATGGAAGTAATACGTTATACTTTACAGAAGAAGAGTTCAATCCTGAAAAAATGTTCAAACCACGTAATGAGCGTGGAAAAGTTTTCGCGGGTCGAAGAAAAGTTAACCCGCTCAGTGAAGTACCATCACTGTTTAATATGTGTTTAAGAATTATCGGTAATAACATTGATGGTAAGTAGATTCATGCAGAATCCTAGTTACACCTCTACTTTACAGCGATCGAGGATACAGGAGACATTCCATTTGACATATTACGCCCTGTTCTGGAAAAATGTAACGAAAAACAACTTATGTACATTGAGCAACGCAATCCCGTAATTTTCCTACCTTTCTATACATTGACAATCAATTGTTTCCAGTATCTTGAGGAAGACAGTAGTGCACTCTGGGAGAAGTTTGTAACAAAGAAATACCCTTGTAAGAAACCCGCGAAACACGAAGCATGGAAGGATATGTATTTGAGGTTGGTGACTTGAAATGTGCGAGAAGGTAATTGCTCCAGTATAGGTTGAAAAATGAAGAAGCAGAGCGTCTAAAGAGTTTGAGTAAAAAAATTGGAAGAGCGAACGCGGACATGGATAATGTACAGAGAAAGGCAATGCTTGCTGACGCTAAGGCTCCTAGGGATGTTAGAGTTCGTCAAATGAAGAATGGTACAACACAAGGTGCACATCTCATTCCACACGCCTTAGATGTTACAAAAGCAAGACGCCAAATTTTTGAGAGTGGTAAATCTATTCAATTCAAACTAACGTAAAGGTCACCGCTTTTTTAGGGTCTAAATCATCTCTAACTGCCATCCCAAATGCAGTTCTCAGTCGTAACAGTACATTAGGATCTAAAACAGAAACCAAGAAGCAAGGTCCGAAAAAAGGAGCATTAATGATGAAAACCATGAAAATGCTGAATATCAGAAGGTCCCGTTGAGACGCTTACCAAGCCTATACTTCTATCACTTGTAGACTTTAAATGACCGTTTTCTTTCGTATTATTAATCTTTTAGTCAGAATAGCCTATAGCTTTTTACCGCAAATGTTTGAGATGAGTTGAGATTCGAGCATTTCCCCCGCTCTTAGAGCCGATTTATTAATAATAGATAGTTTCTTTTTTGTCTTATATTTTTTATATATACAACTATTTCTTTGGCATAATTTGGGAATAGATTATCTTTTATTTGCAGGCTATTAAGGGATTCCACTGGTATACTTAGTGTGATAATTATCCAAACTGTTTTCTAACCATGTGCTTATTCATATATTTATATTTTCATTTGGGTGCTTTTTTCCCTAGCGTTATGTTGAATGAGGAGAAGTTCATCTGAAAATTGTTTTCTATTAACTTCCTTATGAACATGAGAATAAACCATAGATTTTTCAACTTCTTACATTCCAATTAGTGTTAATTACGTTCACTTACTACCCTTCCCCATCTACTACCAGGCTTCCCCTCATCTTTCCATTTCACAGATGCATTGGTTTCAAAATATTGCGAAGTTAAGCATCTTTAACTCATCTGCTGAGAGTCACCATGAACTACAATCTCCGGTTAGTTTTTTTTTTTAGTCTTTGTTCCTTTTTTGTATTTTCTTTGATCATCTTGATCTTGCTTCGCTTTTTTCAAACTATTTTTGCTTCGGACCTTGCAACCTTATGTGGACTATTCTGCGCTGCGCAACATCTCTTGCAAACCAGCTCGATCGGGGAAGTACAAACCGTATGAGAAGTTCGATCAAGAATTAGACCTTATAAGGTCAACCAATTGGCAACGTTACTATTCCAAAAAATTTACTATGTGTCTTCCTGTTTCTTAAAATCAATCGGCCCAGAAAACGCGTCGTGATTGGCAAGGACAGGTGCATGGTCTATGTCCTTTGCGACACAGTTTCATAGGTTTAGTTCATTCTTGGTTTATATTTCGTCTTCTTTCTCTCGTTGTCGTCCACATATGTTAGCATAGTATCTTACATGGCTAGAAGGGTCGTTTAACTTTTAATCAGCTCTGTGTCTCTCTTTCTCTCTCTCTTAATAGAATGGCATCTGTAATGAACGACTTCCCGGGAGGTCTACAACTCAAACTTACTTGTACGATCTTCTGAAGATTGCATTTATCGGAAATTTTTTTTTGAATTCTAGCTTATTTTTTTAAACAGTTTTTCATTCAAGTATTTCTCTTATCGTCCATCTGAAAAGTCGTTTGAAACAATGCGCGAAGGGTTTGTTCTATTTCCACCTAGCATTCCTGTTCATGCTACATTCAGTATCTCGCATTAATCCTTAGCTTTTTAGAATTTGTGAACTTGAAGCTTCAAGTTTGTAGTTCTTTCACACTGTAATTGTAATCCTCTGCAAAGTGCAACGAATTCACATGGTAAGTTGAGTTTCGATGATTGACCAAAATTGGCTGGTAAATGTCATTCGTTACTGTGATGTGAAAACCTTCTTGTCTTTCTTCTTTTCTCCGATTTTTTTCAAGACTTCAATTTTCTCTCAGCGCTACATCTTTTTGTATCTTTACGTTCCGTTCTTCAACTTTTCGATAACTTCTGCAATACAGAAAGAGTCCTTGCGAATGTTTAGAATGTTTGTTTCAAGATATTTCCTTCAACTGATTGACTCCAATAAAAAAGTGATTTGTTAGGAAAAAATGTTGAGGCTGTTTTGTGATCGTCACTTTTCATATCCGTTTTCTTTTCGTTTCTCCGTCTTCAGCAGTCTCAATGAGAGTCCACGTTAGCTCATACATTTTGAGAGAGGATAAAGCCGAAAAACGTAAGAGCTTCTCCAGCCTGAACATAATTCGTTTACGATCATCATAAGCTTTGTCTCTTCTCATTTCAAATTTTGCTGAGCGCCAAGTAGGAGTTTTGATTTCTGCTTTGTGTAAATGTTACCAACTAAGATAAAAATACTTCTTTGTCAATTTATAATGAAGACTAGTAAATAGGAGTATTCTTTAGAATGAGCATATATCTGTCAACTTGTTTATCTAATCGTGATATTAAATCGTCTTCTGGTCGTTGGTTGAACACGATGATGCTGTGTTCATTTCCAACAAAGCATCGAATAGGTTCCAAAAGTTAGTTCGAAAGCAACTAGCTGTTATTCGAGAAGAAGCTCTGATGAAAATATGAATTTTTTTGAGAAGTATTGGAGCAGTTCAGTGCAAAAAATCGGAGCTGAGTCGAGAGTGTATAGGCTTTGGCCAAGTTTACGAACTCAAATGTTTGAGAACTAGAAAACGGCAAGGTGAACTGGCCTCCACACCTGCTGCATAATGCGATGAATGATGTATGCTTTTCCTTCTGGAGATTCGGATGTATTCCCTCAAGCCGTTCTATCCATATTTTGAATTTAAGGATTTACAATTTGCTCCATTTTCACTTCCTTAGTATTTGATGGTTTCGAGTTTGGTATGATAATAGGAATTATGTGCACGATAATCCGCACATTGATTCAGCTGCCATATTCTTAATCTTCCTTTTTTTATCAGAGATGATGACCTACCTAGTGAGATGAATGAGACTGAATTTGGAGAAATGTAGGAAATGCCTTCCTGTCACAATAATTTCTGATTAATTATTGGAGCTACCGAGCCGTAATTGGTTCCATAATTCACGAATCTGAGCTTTCGTCTCTTTGCGTGGGAAAACATATTTGCAGAAAGACAACAAAGCAAAAAATAATCAGAACATTTCCTAGTTTTACTGCGGTTGATTCGTCAGCTAATAAGTTGCGTCTTCTCTGATTTTTGTCCTTTCAAGGCTGACCTTTTCAAACCTTTCTCAGTTTTTTCTCATAAAGTTCCGTATGATTTGATTGCATCTTAGTTCTTAGAACTTCCCAAATCACTTGCCTGATTATCTATATGGATGAAACGCCCGCTCATCCACAGGCTCGTAATCCAGCTTATTTTCTAGTCTTGCTTTTGGTCTATTTAGCATCTATAACAGCTTTGTAGGCTGAGAAGGAAATTGAGGCATTAAGAGAGAATACTACCATTTGTTCTTTAGTCAAAGTTAGAATTCTGACCATATCTGGAATTAATATTGGATAGGAAAACTTACGTAGGTTGCTCATATGTGCTGCCATCTTGTTTCTTGAGAGATAAACAAGAGAGAACGAAACTACAGTGAAGTGATTCTATAATCGGTAGCTCTGTCTTTCACTCGCTCTCTTTCTCTCTCTCTTCATCAATTTCTATTGGGACGATCCTTTCCAGTTCGATGGAATTCACACAAAAAAGAAAGAACCTTTCAAGCTGTTTGATTTTTATGAAAGAAGCCATATGTGGATGCTTTCCTAGACGTTTTTGTAATTCTTTTTTTGGCTTTTTTTTCAATTAGAAAAAATTTGGAGAAAACCTATTAAGTTCATCAAATGTATCTTCTCTCCTCCTACTCTCGAATTGAGAGACTCAAAAGTTTGCAACGTTGATGATTTACGAGTTGTTTTATCAAATAGGGATGTGCCGCATTTGGCATGCATCATTGGATACACGAATGACTCTAACTGATTAGTCAGTCGTTTGAATTATAAGCTTTTGTGTTTCATATTGGTCTCACTCAGTTTCATTATAAGCCGTAATTATAGGATTTAGCAAAAGGATTATGGCACCTGAGCAACATCGTGCGTTAGTCAAGCTATTCTGACCAATTATAATTTCTCTCAACCGAGCTAGAATTAATATCGGATATTTGGATTTATCTAAAGGCATATGAATTAAGAGTACTCTGGTACCGCGGGTACATCACAAGCAACATGAGAGCTCAAAACGAGAGATATAGAAAAGGGACGAGAAATGTCAGATGAGATAGATCATCCTATAAGTTTTCCCTGACTGCTTCGTTTTGAAATGCGAGGTAGAAAGCTTCCATCGACTCGCGAAGTCATGAGAGGAGAAATTAAGATTGCAAGTAAGGAAAGTAGACAGCTGGAAGAGTCGAAGTGAGCGTAGTTTTACTCATTTTTTCCAACTACAACCTATGCTGTAAGAGTTCAATTTATTTACCGAGCTATCGATATTTGAACAGGGTCAGTTGCACTCTTTTCAAAAGTTTATAAATTTTCTCTGGACGCACTGAAGAAAAAAAAAGAGGAAAAGAAGAGAGAGAGGGAGAGATTGCTCAGAAATTGAACAATCCTGCTCTTCTAGATCTACGACTGGAAGAGACGGCTTCTGTTGTCAGTCCACTCTCAGTCCAGTCCTTTTCTCATTATGTTTCAATTCTCTTTTTTTCATATCTCACCCTCGTCCATTTTTCACTTACTCTTTCGTCCTCATTGCCCTTCGTCCTCTTTCTCAATTTCTATCCATCTCTCTTCATCTATCTTTTCAGCACTCCGCGATCGCCTGTTTCACTTTTTCGTTTCTCTTCAATTCGCTTTTTCTCTTTCCATCTTTCTGTTTCGTGGTCGACGTGCTGGCTGTGTATTGCGCCCCGCTAGTGCCAGCAAGTGCGACCAGCCTTATTGATTTTGCACTTTTGCGAGGGTTTCCGTCACACACATACTCTTTCATACACATAGACGCACATATAGACGGGCAGAGAGACAGACACATACATACGAAGCTCAACTAAACAGAGAATCAACTCGTTATCCTAAAAAAAAACCTGCATTTTCTTGCCTGGAGACGTATTGACCCTTCGTACTTTGTTGAAAACTCAATGTCCGCACCACTTAGGTCATCGCTAGTCCTCTGAGTGCAGTATGAACTTCCGATGTCTGTTTAAGCCTTCTTTTTTTTTCGTTTTCGAATCGTTTTTTACCTTGCCAATCTCGTTTATCATTTTGTGTTTTATCTGCATCGTTGTGTTTCATCTCGCCTTTCGCCGTCAGCTGCTTACCCAGTTGGTTATCGTTTCTTTCTTGCAGATTTTAGGACTTCTGTATTCTGTTTAGTTTCTATGAACTTGTTGCGCTTCATCATTCGCTTTCATTCTGCCCTCAGTTGAGGGCAGAACTTTCATTGGTTCTTCGTTTTTTCTTCGTATTGACACTTCCTTTTATTAATCGCATATCAATGGAATTTTATGAGTACCTTGTCTTTGCTTAAAGCTGACGTCATTATCGTCTTCAAGATTCACAATTGACTAAACTATCCTAACTTCTAATTGGCTTCGTAAGTAAAGCAATTTGAGCTTCGAGTCATATTCAAATACGCTTATTAAAAGTTTGTATGTATGTGAGTAATAGTATGTATATTTATGTGTTTGATCATTGCTTCAGCTTCTGAAGCCATTGACATATAACATCGTTGAAGTTACTGGACTAATTAGAATATGCTGAATTATTACTTTTGAATTCTCCTTTCTTATAATTATGACAAATGAGCAAAATCAAGACCAGTGTCTATAGTTTGTTCAAGTTTTTCCATCCAATTCTAGCTGTTAATCTATTATTATGATTTTAATATATTCAGACTTAACTATTACTTCTTTCAACCTATTTTCCCACGTGTTTCACACCAACACACACACACACACACACACACACACATGCACATACACGCACACATACACTCTCTCAGGATTGATTCTTCAATTCTCTGCCTTATGTCTTCATTTTTCCGTCCGGTTTACCAATTACAGGCCATCAGTGTCACTGAGCGACATTGGAATGCTTGAATTATTAATGACGCTGCCAGATCTTCTTTAATTCCATCTTCTTCTTTTGCACCCCTTTTCGGAATACCGCGATGGTTTGCATACCGTCACCAAAAGTAATTCAAACTGACTAATGAGGTTCCTGTTTATCCAACCAAGATGCTCATTGTATAGCTCGCAACATGGTTTTTTTGAGTTATAATCCCATTTAATAAGGGTTTTGTCCGATGTTGCTAAGCTGCAACTCATTCAGCCGTAATCACAGTTGAAATGTGTTATAGATGACCAACTTGTGCTTCATTTCGGAATGAACAAGTGAGCTTCTTTCTTGCAATTTAAAATCTTGTCGTTATCGCAGTCGGAATTTGACTAATTTTGAGATCATGCTCACGCATGCTCGACGGATCTCTAACTCTTGACCGGATTTCTCTAGCCTATTAAGGAAATGCTTCCACACTAAGCAAGCTTTTCTGCTCGGGACATCTCACTCGTCTTCACCCTTCACCATCTATAAGCCGCAAGAGGGCGAGGGAAGGAAGAGTAGGTGCAGGACGAGTCAGTCCCCTAGCCCAGTATCCTTTAAATGGAATGAGATGCATGTATTAATGGTCACACGACGTCGATAAGCGGTTTCTCGGCAACTCTCTTCCCCCTCTTTTGGAGCTGAACTAATTAGGGACTAAAAAGAAAAATGAAGGATAACCTTTTGGGATGAACGATCACGTTGACATGCCAGTTTGAAAAATCACTCGGATCTTCAAATAGCTTCACTCTGCTGTTTTGGACTAGAAATTGATGTGGTAACAATGAATTGCCGAAGAGACATGACACTCTCTCGTTCTTTCTCTCTTCTTTCATGGGCGGACGAGTGCTTGTTAAGCTTATAAGGTCCGCCCCTTATGATCAGAGCAACGTAGGGTGACCCTTAGTGATCTAATGAGGTTTCGCATTTAATTTATATGCTTTTCTTTTTTTTTAACGCTTCTCTAAACTTTTTTCCCACAGAATTAGTCACTATGAGTATTTTATGGTCATAATGTGGTTGCCATTTCCTCCTCTTATTGAATTAGAATATTTCTTGATTCAGTTAGTTCTTATAAGTTTCACGGCATAGATTAGGAGCCTGATTGTGAGTGTATTCTGGTTTCTTTACCTTTGCTCTTTTATTCCTTGATTAAAATGAAGCTTTGTTCTATCTCTTTCTTCGGATAGAAGGCTACTGTAGCATGTGAGCCTTTCATCTCACTTCCTATAAATTGGAGCACAGCACTTCCTATATCTCTCATCAAAGAGACAGGTAAGGGACGACAATGCATTCTTCAACATATTCGCGGCCTCGAGGTTGATAAACTTTTTCTTCTTCTTTAGAACTAGTATAATGATTGGCTGAGAAGCTTCGTTTTATCCTTTGAGAGTCTTAAGCTTTGTACGGTGGCCTTTGAATGTCCTTCAGAGAAAGTAGCACCCTTAGTCGAGAAAAGCTCATTCCAATCGAATCACCCCACATAAAGTTATATACAGCTTCTTGCATCTATACTTGCTCTTTCAACAACTCTATGACTTTTGCTTGTTTGGAACAACCTTGCATATGGCAACCACATTATCTGAATACTCTTCATTTTCTGAGTATCCGTTTGACTTTATCATGAAGATCCTTGCATTGATGTTCTTGGATGTCCGAGCTTAGCAGACAAACTCGAGCTAATCGGCAAGACTCTTCAATTATGTTGAGCGTTTAACGTTTCTTGTTTTCTCATGGAATAGTTATTGTATCATATAATAATCTTCAAGAATCCTCCTTAATTACAGCGGCAGTTTTATCCGTTCATTAAACCTATACTGATTCATCGCGCCAACTGTATCATCGTCGAATATATATCCTTCCATTCGAGCTTAATTTTTATTAAAGCTTAGCTACAGACCGCCTCTTTTAATTATTTCAAGCTATCGATCGACACCTATCCCGGATTGGTGCTTCTCATTCAGCTGATAACCTCCGAATTTGGTGCCCGCCTCCTACACGGCTCAGCTTTCCGGCCCTCCCCTTTCCTGGGTGACCTAACATGTCTTCAGACGACACCCCTAGAAGCAGTTTCAGCTTTATGACTTGTAGTTTACCTACAAAAGGTGGTACATTCAATGTCGATAATTTGCTGAGTCGACTAGCGAACCTTCCGCCTACTTCTACATCAATTATATCGCTAGAACCTCGACCCACAGCAAAATCGTCGTCATCGGCTAGAAGAAAGCGGAAGCAGAAAGATCCTGATATGATCTCATCATCTTCTATTCAATCATTCGAACAAGAGGAACCACCTTCGATCAAAGTAGAGAATGGTCTGGCTTCTACTTCACCTCAGTCAATGAACATTACTTCACCAACAACTTCGTCCGAATCTTTTACGCAAAAGCTGAACTCATTCCGTGAAACTGAGCATCCAACTGTTGTATCTCCTTCTGTGGGAGAATCTCAGAATATTCATGATCTACTTCTACATTCGCTTATTGCCGATAATGGGAATCTACCTTGGTATCTGAAATCACAAGAAGCTATTCAACAGCTGTTTTCAAAGGTAAGATATGCCAGTCACTGTGCGATCCATATTTCGATGCACAAGCTATGCTCCTCTCTTCTATCCTATCTATCTGGCCTGACGAAACATCGTTGAGTATTGTGCTAGTAATATGTGCGACATGTAGACAGATATTTTCATTTGGTTTCAAAAAAGTGTTGTGTAGTTTTGTGATTTGGTTGCTCGTTATCTCCTAGTTTGGACTCTAAATTGTGGTTTGACTTTTCTCTCTCTTATTCTCTGTTTCTCTTGCTCATTTCCTCTCACTCTATCTATCTCTCTGTGAAAGATTTGCAATCCTGTGTTTATTTCATTATTCTTTAATATCTCCATTCGTTTTCTCATAACTCGGTCTTTCGCAGTTCGAAATGCCAGACTTTCAATGAAAAGTTAGATTAGATATAGCTAACTATATAAATATAAATATATCTTTCTAAGCATGACCAACCAGCACCTGCAGCCGGCACCCATGTGATTAGTATTATGGTAGCTTATCTCACATAACTGCAGTTTCCACCTGCATAGAGATATCAGATTAAATGAGTAGAGAGAGCGAAGCGAGTTACGAGAAATTGCCTTTAAATCATTTCCGAACACACAACTCAACATTTCAAATAGACAATGTTATAATAAAGGCAATAAGCCTCATCTAACTTATAGTAATTTGATGCAAAAGCTCAGCCCAAAATATTCCACGTCTTGATTAGCATATTGTGAAATTTGAAATTTGAAAATCATTGACTAAGATGTCGGGTCGGGTTGTTAGCATTACGTGGCATACGTGGCAACTCACAAAAAAGTAGTAAATGAATTTTCATTTACTAAATATTCTCTCACACAAGTGGTTGTTGAGATGAATGAAATTGAAAAAGAATACCGAAGCAAATCAAATGCAATTTTGAAACAGGAAATGCTGCTGCTGCTGAAGACTCGGGTACGATCTTTTGTTTTATATTTATATTACATCCCAACAATCTGCTTCTACTCTCTAATCTCTGTGTTTCGATCTTTATAATGTATAGGACTTGGTTAGATGGCGTCGCTAATTATTATGTGCATCTTACTGTGTTTAAATTTCTATTTTTAAAATCAATTTCAAATTTCATTTTTAATAATAGGGCTGGGCATGGCCTAGCGCCTGGTAACTTTAGCACAGATAGACAGAGATAGGATAGGATAGGATAGGATATAAAATATATATTTTATATTATTTAACAGCGCTTGACTTAAATTTCCTTAAATGAGCGATGATTAAATTTTGGATTTGATATAAGCGGTTTAGATATCATTATTCCTTCCCATACATGGAATTGAAGACATTAGAAAGGAATTTCCTTTTTTTTTGAGAGGGCTCTCTCTCTCTCTCTCTATCTCTCTCTCTCTCTCTCCATCTCTCCCTCTCTCTCTCTCTCTCCCTCTCCCTCTCTATCTCTCTCTCTCTGTATCTATATTCACTTTCAATTTTTTTTTGGAGACGAAAATTAAGTATTGGGCAGGGGAGTGTTTGACTTTAGTCGAATGTAATCCCTAAGATGATTTTGGTGAGAGATAAAGAATAACTATTCTTTCACCTTTAATCGCCAACACAAATCCTGAACAGGATTAGGAGATCGCAGCATTGACCTTTGTAGAGAGGGGAGGACAAATCTGAATTGGGTGAAGACACTTCGCCAAGTGAATTCTAAATGGGATGCTGTCTTTTTACTTGACGTATGCGACATGTTTCTTTTAAAAGATGCTACATCATGTTGAATACTCTAGCAATTCAATACATTCAAGTGAATATCAGCTCTTTGAACATACATAAGATTAGGATAGTCAGGAACGAAAGTGCATATATGCTAATTAAAGCATCACATGTATGGCTGGCGACAGCATCGGCAACAGCAACAGCAGCATAAACGCAAATACCATAACTGCATTTATGAAAATGGTTAAAGAAGTTGTTTTTGTCTGTTCTCGTCTATATACATGATGCTGCTGCTTCTGCTGCTGCTGTGTTCCATGTATGAATGATATGTCGTATTCATATTAGTATAGTCATATGTAATGTCTCAGCAGCTACTATTCCATTGTGCTAATTGAGTTCATAACATTATAACCGTTTAGTGGAAATAGCATAAATCGCATAAAAGTTTGAAGAGAATACATATTTTGCAGCTAATTGCAACTTTTTCTTCCGCACTCTCTCTCTAACTCTCTCCCACACTGATATTCAAGCTGCGAATGTACTAAGATCAACTATTCATTCATATTTTATTCACTTGATTTATGCGATTCACAAGCTGAGCATGATGTCGTAGATTACTAATATCTTTTGCTTAATTTGAATATTAATATAGGTTTAGAGTCAAAGTTCTCTATTTTTTCCATCATTTCATACGACGCATTATCTTGCTCTTAGACCTGTTTAAATAGCTTCAAATAGCTTATTAGAAGTAATAAGAAGCATCAGAATCTGTGTTGTTAGAAGAGGATTGTCCAGAAAAGCTATTCTTAACATACACATAGATGGAGCACACACACACACACACACATACACAGATACATACAGACATTCTCACTCACTCCACTCATTCACTCACTCACTCACTCACATACACCCAATCTCTTAGATCGCTTGAATGAGTTTTGCATTCGATCTGTGCATATTGAGTTGTTAACCTGATAGGTTATTGTATTAGGATAATCAAGCTTTAGAAAGCATTAAAATGATTTCATCAACGATGATTTTGGTTGTGTTGATAGTATGGGTGTGATATGATAAACTACTGTAAGATCAGCATCATAATCATGTTAACCATTCAATCTAATATCATATATTTTCTTTTTATTATTATTCATTTGTCTTATTCTGTTAAAAATTATTTCAAATATCATTACTAATCATAATATGTATGTACGGGGTATGTATGTGTGTGTGTGTGAATGTGTGAATGTCAACCTTTCATGAGATTCATCCTATTTCCTATTTGCGCTAATTATCTTTCTTGTATGAAGCCTCCTCTCCTATATGATAGTATTCATATACATATACATAGATATATATTGAATTAGAAGACAAAAACTGAATCATCATCAACGATGTCCGTGTCCGATGATGTTGATGTCATTTCTATTTCAATGTGCCATTTTCAATTTTTAATGTTGCGAGACATAAAACTTTTAATTTTTTCGGAAATATAAACATATCTATATGCTTCATCATTCTATATGAATGAAGCTTCCTATATCATACAGTTGATGATGAAGCTTAATCAGTCATTTGCGTATGATTTTCATTTCGTGACTCTTCATCTTCGTCTTCTTCATCATATTCATTATATATAATGCATATGATTTGAAGAAATGTAATTCATTCATATTATTTTACCTTTTTTCGGCTTGGCCTCTAATGGACTGTACTGATAATGTTCTCAAAGAATTATGATACCCATTGCTTCAGCTTGCTAGGTTGCTTCGTTCTGATAGCATATGTGTGTGCAGCTCGTCGAACTATTCGCAACCTATTAAATGCTTCGCAATACTTATCAGCTTAGTTGTTTTCCAGTTCATAAGCACAAAATTTGTATTCAACTTTCATTAGACGAAAAAAAAATTTTTTTTTCTTTCTTTTCCATCTGTTTGGCTGAATGATTTTGGGTTTAAGATGTTCGTACTAGCCTCACCTCTCTCTCTCTCTATCACATTGTCACTCTACTTCATGAATACTCATTATGTATTCTATTCATTGATATTAGTACATTCAATCAGCCTTTATCAGTTTAAACAATTTTTTTGTACTTTACTTTAATGTTAAGAACTGTCACTTTCTATTGCGAATCGCATAATCAATTTTGAATTATGTGATGCTTTTTAGAGCGCTATTACCATTGGTCCATTTAGTGCTCTTTGCCCACAAAGCAACAGATATGTAGTTCTGGGCCCTTCTATGTGTTTACTGAACGAACTAGAGTACTGGAAAAGTTGTTGTCAAGCGTCCTTTTTTTCCCCTATTTTCCCTATACTCAACAGCAGAATATTTCCTCTCTTCCTCTCTCTCTCTCCATCGTTCCCCCTCTGTTATTCTGTTAGCCACCTCTCTCTCTCTCTCTATTCATCTTTTTTTTGCTTCATTTTCATTCTTTCAGTATTTCTCAAACTCTTTGGCGTCTCTTACAATTATTATTATCTATCTACTTCATTCATTATCTATCATACTCTCTATTGCAGTATGAGTTTCTTTTCTCTATTTTTATCAAGCTTGCGTTATTGGTTTCTTTGAATCCTCTTTCATTTGTGCGATCTCTGTTCATCCGTTTCTCTCTTGCTCTAACTTTATCTAGTAGTGACCGATAGCTTTCTTCAATTTTCGTTTTCTCGGCTTTCTTTTCACTTATTTACTTTCTTTAATATAGTGTGAAATTTATGAGGTCGTCTCGTAAAAGCTTTGACGTTACATATTTTGTCATGAAGCTGGACAGCCAGGCCGGGAGAAGGCACACATCCGTTTTGTAGTTTTATTAGAAACACAACAAAGTCATGTTAAGAGAGATTCTTGGATATTATTCAAATTGTCCTCTCTATCACTCTTTCCTTCTCCTTCCTTTTTTATATATTCAAATATTGTCATTTTATTTGGATACAAAAAGGTTGGATGCTTAGCTTGTTTCAAACTGCTTGATTCCCGGAACACTTAAATTACGTCGTATGATTGCCAAGTAGGTGCTTGAAGTGGTCATATCTGCTGCTGCTGCGTTCAATGATTTTCTCTTTTTCTGGGTCTGTGTTAAACTCGGAGAGATTATATGATATTTAATTTAGTTTGCGCCATTGCTATCTCTTACTCAGTCCTGTCCTTCAAGACTTGTTGAATGCTTTTCTATTCTTCACTTTCACTCAATGTTAGGCACTCTCTTCGTCCTTATCTAGTTCTCCTCTTGTGATTCTTGTTAACGTCATCTACATACTCGTTATGCTTTGTTTGTTATTTGTTTGCGGTTATCGTCAGTGCTCAAGCGACGCCGTCTTCGTATTCGCCTTCGTCGCTTTCGGCAACATCGGCCATAGGTCATTGTGCCGAAGCAGAACGGACGAACGGCAGGCACCACCCAGCACCCGGAGTAGGAGTAAGAGCCTGAACGGTTGCTCAGTGGGAGAGAAAAGCAACAAAATGACTAACAGAAAATTCACGTTCTTGTTAGTTTGAACTGTTGTGTTGTTTTCGGTTAGATGTTGTCCGCTGAGTTCATGAGTGAGTAGGAACTTCACCAAAGGGACAATAAAGCTTGAATCTACGATAAAGTAAGCATAACTGATAAGATGGGTGTTTTCTTAATTTATGATGTAAACATAAATTCACATTTGGAATTAAAGTAAACAAATTGATTTGAATTCTCGGTCAACCTTCGAACAGCTTTCAAATGGTTTCAAACACGTGTGCGATGTCATGATGTGAGGGAATCATTGAGCTTGCATCAATCTCAGTTACTCATTTGCTATGCTTCGAACCCGGAAAAAGCTTTAGAATGCTCACCTGTTATAGTCTTAATTTAAATTTGTCACCTAAATACCCTTTGGGTGCTTGCCTTATTGGATATCAGCCATTTAAAAGACATTTGAGGCCGTTGAGTTTAACAGGATGTCGTCCCATGGGAGATGATGGTCTTTGTGCTCTGTATTTCTTCCATGGTTCACGTTTTGTTTCTTACTTTATTATTACATACGTCTCTCTAGCTACTCACATCTCTGACATTGAATATAGTGATGTTCGTCATTTCGGAACAAATTCTCTTCTTTTTTTTATTTTATTTTATTTATTTCCATTTTCATAACATCTCGTCTCCTGCCGTCGTCATAGTGTCTTCCTATTGAAAGAAATAGTGGCGCAAAATGATTATAACGCTTTTGTGTGTTAAATACTTTCATTTCATTTCGCTTTGCGTTCCACTTTTTAATCAAATTAAATTCGAACGGTTTATTTTGCATTTTGGAGAGCGATAATGGCTTTTTATTATACTTTATGTTGTGTTTCTATTATATATCATAATGCTTGTAATGCTTTACTATCAATTTCGCCACTTCAGCATTTCCAAAAATTATTTTTGTCTTGAAACTTGCTTCGTTAGCATTAATCTATTCTCAATTAGTTCTCTACCCCGATTACCTTTTCTATCTACCTTTCCATCTCTTCCTCTCTCTCTCTCTCTCTCTCTCTATCTCATCTCTCTCTCTCTCTGATTTACTCTCTTTCTCTATGCTTCTTCTACTGTCGAACACCAAATGCTTTAATATGAAGACGAAACCTTTTTTTTCGTCTTTTCGTAATATAAACTAGAAATGACAAAAAAGAAAAATTAAATTATTTTTTGTCTAATAAGGGAGACAAGCGTGATACAATTTGGCATGTTCTGTTCATCCCCTAAGTGAGGCAATGATGTGATGCTGTCTAAGAAAAGAGCTGCTTCGATTAGCGCACATCCATCTTTGGGCTTAAACGAATCGGCCAAGTGTTCGATTTTTCCGTTGTCCTCTCAAACAAGCACTCTCAATGCATTAAATTCATATCTTACTCATTTAGGAATTTTGATATATTTCATTTAGCCTTAATTCACAGTTTTTCATCTAGTCAAGATGTTCTTCTAATAAATTCATTAGCATTTTCAATTTTGAGAGTTCACATTCAATTTGAAATGTTGATGTGTGTACTAATGAAGAGAGCTTAGATGAGAATGCTTTAACCTTATATCGTATATCGCATATTTGCCTTTTTGCTATCTAGTTAGTTGAATCACGTCTGATTGAACCTTTATAATGCTTTTGACGCTTTAAATCTTTCCTCAGGCTTAGCAACATTGCCAGTGCTCAAGATAAAAATGAACTTAGGTCTTCCCAGTTCTACACTTCCATCATATACAACTCTCCGCCCTCTATGAATGTTTGTTCTTTATGGACTCTCTCGCATGCGTTCTCTCTTTCTATTCTCGTTCGTTCGCTGTTTCTTTTGTGTGGTTCTCTATTTCTCTATGTTGCTTGTTCTTCATGCATTGCTCAGCCGTCGTCCTCCGAACCGAAGAGTCGAAAGCGTTCTTTATTTCGCGCAGGCTCACATCTTTCTTTCAAGATAGTAATTGAAAGAAAAGGCTTAGAAGTTATTTCTTTTTCGTATCATTCTCTCTCTTTATTTATATTTTTCAAAAGATCATTCTCAGCTATGTTCCATCTGTTCCATATCCTCTTTGATGTTCATTTTTTTTTGTGTGTGTGTTGCACCAAATATCAATTGGTTCATGATTGTTCAGAGAGGAGAGACTATGAGAGTCAGGGAATTAACGCTAGTTTACACACAGACGCACAGTTCTTCGACTGAAATCCCGTTCTCTCTTTCGTTCATTCTCCGTATACAGTTAGACACATACAGTAGACGGAAAAAAAATCATCACACGCACGACCCCACGTTCTATTCTGCATCATTTTTTTCTGATGTCCGTTCAATTGAAGCCATGTGTATGTGTATGTTGCGGCGTGCTTCGAATTAGTTTTCTCTGTGTGTGTCGTCGTCATATTAGACTACTGCAAGGTAGCATAACAACATATACATATGCATATCTTTATATATCATTTGCAATATATTATCATATTCTCTATTACATTGTCATTTTCTTTCCATCTTTTTTTTTTCTTTTTTGATTCATCTTCACATAGTTGTTGGCGATGGAGTTATTGGTTTCTTTTTCGGACCTTGAATGAAGCGTCACATTCGAGGTCTGTGAGCAAACTATGGAAGCCTTGACTTTTGATCTGTCATTCAGAGTTCCAGCAGTCAGCTTGGCCAACTAGAGAAACTGCTCGAACTGAAAAAAAGCCACGCACAATAGCTATCGTTCAAAACTTGAAAACTAACTTTATCCTTCAAATTAATTGATTACTTTAACCTCTGAATCTACTGACTACTGCGTTCAGTGTGTGTTTAACTTAGGTGTTCGCATCTTCATGAAAGCTGTTCTTCTGAATCAGTGTTGTTATAATATATTTGTTTAAGTTCTTTTGTCGTTTTAGTGCTGCCTGCCAGACTGTTGTTCGCATTTCATACGTATCACTCTTTCGTTTAATTTGCATACTTAATTGTCTTCAGCATTGTTTCTTTCTTTCTTTCCTTTTTCGTCTTCTTCCACTTCTTCCACTTCTTCTTCTTCTTCTTCTTCCACAATCTATCCCTTTCAGCTTCTATTCTATACCTTCTTTCCACCTGTGTTGTTCTTTCTTTGTACTTCGGCTCGTCATCACCAATTTAATTTTTTTTTTCATTTTATTTAATTTTTTTTATTCCTATCATTCATACAATTGAATATACTAATCAGCTTTTTGTTTCAGTACTTGTTGCGAGAAGCGTCCGGAGGGACGCTACCCGCAACAGTTATTAGAATGTCTCCCACTGTTATTGGGAATATAAAATCACAAAATGATTCTGACTCTGCTGCAAATAATGGAAAGATTAAGGTTCGTTATGCTCCATCTTGACTGTATGAGTATGTCTCTCACTGTGTGAGTATGTGTGTGTGTGTGTGTGTGTGTATGTATGTGAGAGAGAGAGTGTTATCATTGAAGCTTGATGTGTTGAAACGATCTGCCATATATCTATGTCCTTGTGAAAGGTTGTTTATTTAAAAGAATCGACAAAAAAAAAGAAATGCAATTGGTGAGAGGGATAGATGGGCGATTTGAAAAGGAAAATAGTTGCTAGGAAAAATCGGAGATAGATTGAGAGAGAGAGAAACGAAGGAAAGAGTGAAAAAATGCTAAGAGAGCAGAAAAAAAGAGAAAAGAGGGAGAAGAGATAGAGAAAAGCATTGCAAGAACGATGTTCGGTTGTCTGTTCGCTAACAAAAAAAAAAAAATCAATTTTTGCAAACATCAACTAGAGGACAATAGTATTCATCTCATTCTAGTTGGTCATGATAATTTACTCGAATTATTATATAATAGTTACTGCTTCATGGCAATGCGCTTATAATTAAATAATTATCGAAAAGATTATGAGATGCTGCCTTTGCTATGCCTTGCCAGCATGCACTGCTCACATCATAATAGCTTCTATAGATGATCGTTAATAGCTATTTAACTTTGAACGTTTCTCTCTCTCTCTCATACTCTCTTTACCTCTCTCTTTCTCTCTTTTTTTTTCCTTTTTTGGTTTTACTTAATTACTCTTTGACTGATTTTAATAGTAAAATGTTTGTATTTTTTATTCATTTAAATATCTCTTTTTTTATTATCTAATTGCTAGTTGTTTTATGATCAAACCCTTACCAGGATAGAGAGAGAGAGAGGGAGAGAGAGAGAGAGTAAGAGAATGAGTAAGTGAATGAGTAAATGAATGAAATAGAAGGATAGGGGGGGGGGGGGGAAGAAGAGAGAAGATCACAGAGAAAGAGAGTTTCATTAGAGTGATCTATCCATATCCTATAACGTTCATGTTGATTTTTCATTTTAATTAAAATGTTATTCTAGATCAGTGGAAAAACTAAAAGTAAAGAAATCAACGGAACATTAAGTCCTCCAACGAATGTTAGCGACGAAGACGAAGGAGAAGAGGTGCGCTTATTTTCTATTTTATCAACCTGAAACTAACGGTTTCCAATTATGCGTGTATATATTTTATCTTGTTTTGTTATCCTTCCATATATGGGGGGATAAGTACTTACTATATATATATATTTGAGTAGTATAAGGGATGTTATACTTCTAAAGGAAGGTAAGTAATGAGCAAAGGGTAGTGGACGCATAATCATTTTATTTCTCTTTGTTTCCTACTACATCTCCTCCTCATTGACTAAGCCATCCAACGGTTGCGTTCCGCTGTTGGCATGCTGCTTCCTCCTGCTGCTCCTGCTTGCCGTAAAATCTTTTTCTTTTCTTTTTTTTTTTATTTAAAAAAGAAAAGTTTTGCGTGTGAGTAAATACAAATATTCGTAGTTGAGTACATTCGTTCGGGCAAATCAATGTTCGGAATATTTCATATTTTGTGGACTTGCTTAGATTATCTCGTTATGCGGATATGTTACATATGTAGTTATTGGGAAAGAAAGTAGAAGAGTATTCATCGTCTTACAACATCATCATCATCACCATCATTCTCTCTCTCTCTTTATCTCTCTCTCTCTCTCTCTCTCTATCTTTGTATATCCCCCTCCCCCCTCTCTCTCTCTCTTTCATTCAATTTTCATTATGAAAAAAAAACAAATGTTATTCGTTTTCGCATTGTTCGCAACTTTTGCCGTATCCAAGCCATATGTGGCAGTACTGACAGATACGGATATCGTATGTTTCTATTGTTTCATTACGCTTCTTCACTACACTAGAAACATGACCGCTCTCTTCTATCATCTTCTTCTTCTACATTTGAGTTTTGAAACAAAAATTTTTGGTGTCCAATCACTTCACATGTTTTACAGTACAAACTGTGTTAGATATGCTTTCATCATCAACACATGCTCATTTCTGATGGTGATTGTTGAGGGGTTACAGGATGTTTCAAACCACTTTTCGAAACAATGGTTAAATGGGACTCTAGTCTTCAGCTGTCTTGCTTTTTCTTCTTTGTCTCCCATTTATAGTTGCTTTTGGAAAAGAGGTTCAATACTGTTGTCTTGTCATATATAAGATCATAACGCTCCAATTTTCGGAGATTACTTCATTCATTTTTACATTAGCTGAATACGTACAATCTGTTTCAGCTGAATCATCATCATTTCCTCATTTCTATATTTCACTTTCTCCATCTATCAACTTCATTATCTTATATGATCATACTTTCTATTTGAACCTTTTCTACATCAATTATATGCTCAATATCTGTTTCCATTAAGTTTGTAATGCTTAGTTATGCGTGAAGTATAGTTTTCACTTGTTGAGCCTATAGGACTTGTCCCCCGAAGTAACTTAAATCGGCATACGTAGTTATCGTCTTGTTTTCCTCCTTCGATGTCCTTGGAAGCGCCTAGGTTTGTGTCCCAAAAGATTGCTAGCTGTTCGCGTCTACTATACTGGAAGCCATCTTTGACTATGCGTTCCTTCTCAAGGTCGCATCTTTACCATATAGGTATATAAAACTGAACTCAACACAAGGGGAAAAAGTTTAGGCGATAGATAGTAGTGAAGACAGACATAAACGTAAATAGAAGAGCAGAGCTAGTGGTGTTCTTCAAGACCACGCCGCGTACAGACGCTCTTGCTTTTTGTTGCTGTTTTTCGTCATTTACTTCTCTCATAGTTGGAACTGTTTTTCAATTATAAGAGCAACATTCATAAGCTAGGATCTCTCTCTCTCTCTCTCTATCTCTAACTATTCAGTGATATGTGAGTATAGAATCCATATTGCTTAACTATATGATAATAATGATAATTACAGCCGGAATTTAAGTATTAGTGATTGATTGTCTAACTCATTTGATCAATTCATCTTCACTAACATATTCAGTACAAATATATTGATATTTGTCCTGAATTGTGATTTGTATTGAACAATTGACTAAAAGCCTCATAGCTATGTCATTGGAGATGCTGCTGCAGGCTTTTTTGGTAAGTAGCATTTGTCCTCATTCTATTCTATTGAGATGTCTCTCTCTCTTTCTGTCTTACTCTCTGTAGCTTTGTGGCTTCTATTTACTCGATCTTGAACCTTTTTGTCGTACTCTTATGTTGAATTTCTTTTCGCTTTTATTCGAACGCTCATGTGGATATCATGTCTTCTGAGTTTTCGGAATCTTTGAAACATCCAAGCTTTTCATACAAAAAACAGTTTGTTTAGAGTTTCATCTCTATCTTGGACGACAAATTAAAAATATATATTGATTGAGCTCTGAAAATTGGGAAGTGAAGAGATCTTACCGTTCGTTTTTCAACGGTCTGGTTTCTATTTTCTATTTTCTCAACTTCTTTCCATCTCTCCCGTTCTCGTGTTTCAAACAATCTCTAACCTTTCGCAGCCTTGCTTACCTCGTTCAGTACGCCAACTTCGTTACATCGTTCCTCTTTAGAAGTTCGTTTATAACTATACAACTCACTAGATTTGTTACTACTGTGATCGCGAAGGTTTTGTCGAGGGCATAATCGACGTTCGGTCGTCGACCCGGTTGCGAAAAAACCAAGGGCTTGCTTGACCCTTCCCCCCTCTCTTCCCCCCCGCTTCCATTTTTCTCTTTTGAACATCTACTTTTTTGTAAGTTGTTCAAGTTGTTTTTCATAAACCTTGCCTTCCCACAAAGTTTACTTTGAAGTGTTGGTGATTTGCAACTAGCAGTCCTAGTGAGAGTTATTATATCAACAAAGTTGTTTGATTAAACAGCTTCAATGATCTACCGAAGTTATGAACGTCAGAAATGCCAATATCGTCTTCAACTTCAATCTTCTACATCTATTGTTTGGGTCAACTTGAAAAAATGGATTAGAAGTTGCATCTGATACCTCAATGCGAATGGCTTCTTGTTGCAACATATGGGGGTTCATTTCAAGTTTCATAGAACTATGTGCCAAAAGCTTTCAACGGAAGCTGACTAGTCAACGGATAATGGACATTGTCGTTCTGTAATATATGGGCTGAACATGACAGAAAAAAAGGCGAACCTGCCGTTTCTTTCAAAAAGAAAATAATCGTCAAAATGGTAGTCACGTTTCATCTATTATGGCCAATTTCCAAATTCGAAACACAGCTTGTCATTGTGTTTCGAGGTAATACCTTTCTCTCCTGAAGGCTATCTTGGAATTGTCTCAGCTGATACATTTTATATGATATAGTTTAGCTGATGAGATAGAAGAAACATCATCAATGCTTTATACTCAAAATCTATTGATGATATATTATAATTTGTTTTTTCATTGAAAGCACTCTGCTCAATGGACGAAACTGCTTTACTGGAAGCACAAAACAGTGTGTCACAGAGAGAAAGAATAGATATAGTAAATATAATATTTTTCTTCATGAATAGTATGATAACATGGATATGCTGAACATACTTCTAATCATTCTCTCCCTCTCTGTGACTCTCTCTCTCTCTCTATCTGTCTCACAGTCTACATATCCTTCCATAGCATGTAAGCTATTCCGATCTTCTATAAGAACGGTTTGTATATTTCAATCATTGTTCCTTTCATAATAATAACTTCCGGGCTCAATTTTCTTTGAATTACTACGAATGTGTTGATGAAAACATATTTTACAAGTCAGTGCAAAATTGGCTCGATTTGCATTTTGGGGGAACTCGTCGCTCACATCTTGATCATTCTATGAAGAAGGCGCTATACCGTAGTTATTTGTGAATCGACCTTTTAGTATTATTATTAAAAGTGTTCGTTACTTAACTATGCCTCTATAGCTCACGAGCTAATAAGACTCAATTGGATACTTCGAATGTGTTCGCCTCTAAATAATAACTCTTTAATGTGCTGGCTACTTTCGACTTCTTTTCTGAAGTTCTGATTGTCGTCCTCATCTCTAAAGTTAGACCTAACCGTTTCAAGGTCATATAAGTTGTATGCTTGAGAAGGAACACATCTATTACCTTAACCATTCGCATAGAAGAGGACAAACCGGTCCAGTTGGAGCGAGATGTCGCTATGCTGTGGATGGACGGTAGCTATATGTCGTCGGCTGAATTCTCTAACGATGCTTTCGTCCTTTATGGTATTATCTCGATTCATCGACGTCCGCCATTCGCATCAACTCTGTCAAACGATATAGAATATGTTTTAAAAAGAGCTTTAACCATTGAAATATAGAAGGCGTACGTGAAGTGATTCAAATAAATCTGGTTAGACGATTTTTCAAATATCAGCTTCTTCTCTCCATGTTTCTTACACATATTGTAAGTGCTTTTCATGAAGTATGCTGAACCGAGTCTCACACATAAAGCTATTTGTAGCTGTTTCTCCTCCTCTTTCATTGTTTCATCATCCATATATGGCATCCATAGATACATCTCTTCTACCTTCACATCTTTCATAATTCAGTTGAAAGTATTCAACTATTATATATATTTTTTCAAACAAAATTGTTATCCGTTAAGATGAATGAAAGATAGTTAGGAAGCTTGTTAAAACGAGCTCGAATTGTTTATCGTTTGTTGACAAGTGTCATGTACTGAGCTGACTACATGAGGCCTATTTGTACAAATAAATGCTCAGTAAATGTCCTCTGCTTACTACTGATGCAGCAAGAATAACGAATATAGAGCATCTCCTATATATATATTATATATATTATATATATTTGTTGATAAAAATGCAATTATTATATATTTTTGCAACAGATGGGCATATGCTTTACCTACCTTCTCATAGATTTGAACCGATTAGTATCACATATTATCATGTGATGATTAGTTCATTGGTCATCAGAGGTACAGGTTGGCAATAAACCATTTTACCCACCTTTTGGAACGCTTCACTATCTGGCAATTCGGATAAGAGAAGATAATATGCTTATCTCTCTCTCTCTCTCTCTCTTTCTCCATCTCTCTCTCTCTCTGTGTCTCTCTTATATTCTCTCTATCTCTATCTTTCCATCTCTCTACTTCTCACACAATTTTACTTCATTC